AGACATAATGAACTTTATGTAAATAACGAGAAGTGAAATATCAAATGAAGTGTTGAGTGAAGGTCAACATTACATTCCTGTCTATTTAGTTGTGATAACTGCAGGCTACTAAGGCTACTAGTTATGTGTAGCCCTAAGAATTAAACATTTTTCCTTGAAAAGTGAACAGATGGAACCAGCAGAGCTCCTTTCTTTCCAGTTACACTTAGGTGAAGAAGAGCAGGAAAACTAGGTCGAAAAATCACAGTAGTCCAATAAAGAAAAGGTGTGCAGGTATAAACATAAATGGCAGCTAGTTTCCGATAACTCTAGTAAACTAGCTAGAAAATTCTTGAGATATCCAGAACTTCTGAGTAGATAACGGATAATCTTGAGTTTCTTATTGAAAGTGTTGTCTGAGAAAAAAACTCTTGCCTTGTTAGCTAAAGATTTTACTGAATTCCATTTGTACTGCAAACATATGAAAGTTAAAAAGTGAGTATATACACCTTATTACTTTGGTTTCTGGTAAATTCTTTTTTATACAGTTTCATTTATTATCCTTATCAATAAAGCATTTAATAAACTAATATTACTACCGCTTTCTGTCTCAATAGCAAAGAAGATCACTGAACTGCTGCTGTTAAATGCATCTACTATAATTTTGGCATCTTCCTCCTTCTTCAAATTTGAGAATGCTTCGTCCGTACGATGACAATAAAATATATACATGAAAATATGGATTCATTTAACATGAAGATTATAAAAAAAAGATATTCTGAGAAATCCCCATTCTTGAAACTACAGGTTTTGGGTGAAGTCATTCGGCGAGATTGCCACATAGCAGATATAAGGAATACTAGAAGAAGGTTATTTAATGTAGCAAAGTTATCTTATACATTCGACAGTCGACTGATATTAACTTTGCAAATCAAAGACAGACTACATGACTTTACCTCCTCTCTCTGTATTGTACTGACCAATTCAGCTGATGTTGTAAAGTAATTTACACCAAGTGTAAGGTTCGGCAGGTTCGACGTTGGGTCTTTGAACGCCATCCATCATGGTTAAGCAAAAACAGATAAGATCGATACGAAGCTCTATACTCTTATCTACCTGATATACTGGTTACCAAGTTGTTATTAACATTGCTTTTAAACTTGCTAACAGGATGGTTTCTAATCTCTACTAGTTCACCTTTGATTTAAATTAGAATCCATTCGAATCCACTTTAACATCTTAAGCTTGCGCGTTCAGAAGAGATTTGTCCAGCCTCTTTCTTCATCTTGGTCATGTGTATAACTAATCTATGCTAAGATTACATTACTCCTTACTCAACGACTTACATTTCCTACTTCTGTTACTTCACGATATAGTGCGACCTACACCCAATCTAGTCGTTGATTAACTGTCCTAATGTTCAACTTGGTTGATTCCACTGGTCACGACTTCTCATTGGAACTTCGGGAATTAGTTCTCGAAGCTAATTATTAATGCTCTCCGGATTAATTCCATCTAGAGGTTTGTGGAGATTTATTAATTGATTTTAGGTTGGAATTCATCATGGACCGACATCAACCAAATCGAACATGTGGACAGTTACTCATCGATGACACTGGATGTAGGTCGCACTATATAGTGAAGTGACAGAAGTAGGAAATGTGAACTGTTGGATTCCAACCCAGTGGCTCAATGATAACCTACTGGCTACGAAACCTGAAGGTCCTGGGTTCGATCCCTGCCGCGGTCGCAGGTGCGCACTGCTGGGGAGTCCCATACTCTTCAGTATTCCCAGGTTTCCAGTGTTCTTTCAACCGATGTCAGCCCATGATGAATTCCAAACTAATATCAATTAATAAATGTCTACAAACCTCTAGATATAATTTAAAATTTCACGAATTCGCCGTGTAATTATTATTTTTCTTTAGCTACTGTTGTAATCATCCTGATTAATTATTATCTCTGGACACTGTAATATTGTAATTTAGTTTGAAGTTTGTGGGGACTTTTAAAAAGTTATTTCAGCGTAGTATTCATCAGAGTTTGACATCAGTTAATGAGCTGTCAAAAACCTAAGTGCACTGAGGCAAATGTTTTGTCTTGGTATTAAAATGGTTGGTAGAGCGAACCCAAGACACCACCAGAGGTTAAACTCAGGAATTTCGAGTCCCACAGCGAGCGCATTACCATTCAGCCACTGGGTCAGACTCCGATGGTCTACATTTTTCTGCTTCTGTCAATTCGTGATATAGCTCAACTATCATTCAAGTTCATGAGTTGTCACCTGCTTCATTTAGGACTTGGCAAGTCTCACTGGTCACGGTTTCTCATGGCAACTTTGAGATATTCATCTTGAAGGATGTCACTGAAATAAGAGTTGGACTTTCGGAATGGTTTAGGATAATTCATAACTCCTCTAGAGAGTTCCACGCCTTTCGAAATATCTATTTAACCGTTCTAGCTACAATTTATTACAATGCGATACGGAACGGGTTAGAAATTTCTAGTAAAATACTGAGGAATAAATAATTTTAATCCAATTCGATTTATGAAACTTGTAAGGGATTTTTGAAGGCAGCGATTCATATCAAAGTTGACGGACCTAAATTTGGAGATGAAGGATGCAATGGAACATACTGTCATCAAACAAAGGTCTTGTTGTTGAACTTCACAGTGTATGGACGTGGTGTTACGTGGTGGTAGTCAGTCAGCGTAATGCCATTCTCGGTTTCCAGTCCTAGTAGGAAAAAAGCCACTCACTGGGAGGGAAATCATCCTGCTGGGGAGTTCCACACAGAACGAACTTGCGTCCTGAATTCCATTGCTGGCTACTATCCACCATTAATATCAAACTGAAATACGGGCACTATTAGGGTATCCCCGCAGGAGCCTATATGCCATTACAGACAAATCAATTCGGTCTAGTCAACGAGAAGATAATGCAAGCCGCAACATAAAAACTATATCCATCGCACAAGAAGTGGGTTTCGTGATTTGATGACCTAGCAGATGACGCTCTCGTGTTTGAAGCAACTGGTCCCGGGTTGGAGTCTTGGTGGGGACAATACTGCTCACTGGGAGGCAGGTATATTCAGTTGATGAGTCTCAAATGAGACGAAACGCGCTTCCTGGATTTCACTGCTAGCCTCTATCCTTCATTAATACAAAGCCATTCTGGACCTAAATTTGGCAATTGTTGGTACTCATCACTCAGGCATATCTGCAACCATGAATAAAGTGGTGTAGCACCAATGGTTAAAACTTGCATCACTCAGTACTGAAATCAGAGATTGAACCACTAAGCTACTAAAGACACGACCAACTTCCTGTTGGACTGGATACGAGGTGGTCACCTCTGAATAACTGATGCAGTTGTCTGGACTTTAGTATATAGTATTAATCGAAGTCTATAGATCAAGTCTTGTAACGTTTTTCTGTGAACCTTTTCGATCTCCCCAGCTAAATCCTTCTAACCTGCTAAAGTCTTATTAGTCATGAACGCATGAAAGACAAGTTTAAAAACTAGATTTCCCTATTCTGTACACCGGTCTATTCACTCATATGGAATTGTGTACATGCGTCTAGGCAATATGTTCTCACATGTATTCTTCCAGTTGTAGGTAGTTGTCTTACTATACACATCCTTTTCCATTCATTTGTTTGTCTTTTATTTGTAGATTACGAGCTGGAATTTGATGGATATAAACGGTTGATTCTGAGCATTAGTACTAAAGAAAAGCTTCATCAATGTAGGCAATACTTTGTAATAACAAATTTATTTATGAATATGTTAGTGGTCATTAATAGACATTAAATTTTCTGTATTGATTGGTCACGGGAGTGCAACCGATTTCATGTTGTCTAGTCGTGGGTGTAGACCGAATCCTATCGATCATATTTGTAATGTAGCCACCAAGTTAGAAGGCTCAGCATCGCAGTGCACATTAGTAGATGTTAGTTGGTTGAGGGTAACCCACAGGAAGCCCTGAATCTATGTTGCATGCTTTTTGACACTCGTCAGCAAGGCGTATCTGCAAGCTCGACGGAACTGATGTCCCGCCTGAGATTCGAAAACGCACCAACGACTTTACCATGAAGCTATCTCAGGCAGAATATTAGTTCCGTTGAGGTTGCAGATACGTCTTGCTGACGAGTGCCAACAAGCACAAAACTTAGGTTCAGGGCTTCCTGTCGATTGTCTCCAACTATCTAACATCGGAAATAAATTTTACCCCTTATCTGAAAATGGCTTATTCAGATAAGTAGATCTTGAAAAACACACGATAAAATTTATGTTTGTTGTTGTTATGACATCAAAAGGTGTAATACAATAAATATAGGAATATATATTTGAAATTATCAAGAAATTTCTGTTTAATGGTGACATATCTTTGTTATTTAATGCTGGAAATTTCTTTTGAAAGCAAGAAAGTTTATTTAGTTTTCTCGTGTATTTGAATTTCACTTTGCTGCTCAAAATGATGCATCTCTGACGAGTGAACTTACCAACTGGTATTTTTAAAGTTAAATTGTTTTACATAAGGTATCTGACCTATACTAGTTCTCTTTTGTATCACCGGTAACAACTTGTAATAACTGAATTGGTTATATTACACGTTATCATTTAAAAAAGTTGGTAGAGTGTATTTATAAACATAGTAGCGCATATAGTGAAGATGCAGAAGTCCTGGAAAGTGAAATCACTCCTTTTTCATTCACTAAGAATTTAATTTTATCACAATTGAAATATGAAGTACTTTATTCAATAGTACACTTGATATAATTAGTCAGAGAGAAGAACGTTAATAATTACTTACTTGTAGACCTTCAATATACCTTAGAGAATCTGACTTTGACTTATGTGATCAATATTCAACACTTTCAGTGAAGGTAACCAAAACCTTAGTGTGATATGTTATTTAAATTATAGAATTTTGGGTTCATAAAAACGACAAAGTATCTAATATCACTCTTTCTATTCAGTTACACATCCAGGTAATAATTATAATAATAATACTAACCTGATAACTATTATTAAATCCACGATGATCAATATCATGACATAATGCACCGACAAATAATGCTAACCGTTCCAGTTCATTCAAATACTGATTTGTCAATTGTGATTCTACAGTCAATACTAGATATGCCATATGTCCAACTGTGAATGCATGCATCCAATTATGATAAGTTGGTGTACGATAATTTTTTTTCACAGTTAAAATAAAACATGCCAAAGTAGTTCGATGAATATTCCATTGAGTAATAAAACCAAGATTTTCAAACATAATCATTATAGCCTATGGTGTGATAAGATATTTAAGAAGATTAATTGTACAATTTGATAGGTAACACTGAACTTCAGCATAAACAATATTGTAGATGAATTACAGGTAGGCAAAAAATAGGTTACATTACATTTCTTTTGTCATACTGACTGGGATCTGTAATTGATTGGTATTGTATGTTTCAGTACTTAAAGAGAAGGAAGTCATTAGACTAGCATTTTGTCAAGACGGTAAGTTTTTATTTGGTACACATTATTTTAGTAAATCAAAGATAATCCTCTTGTCTACAGGCATTTATTGTACCTTATCAAACAACCAGTCACCTGTAAGAGGATGGGCTTTTAAGAAACTTTGTGTCACATGTGGCTTCCTTCTTAATAATACCGGGTTGGAGTACCATTCGATTCGATAATTATGAAAGTTATGATGCTTATTTCAATTGTCATTGTGATTCAGAAAGGTACACTTGAACACAAGCAAGTATCTTCACAAGAGATAAACGAGTGTTAAAAGTCAACAGAAAGCTGTTTTCAATCAGTGAACAGCACTATTGCTCATACTTCTATTTGATTTGGAGGTATTCATCATGGATTAACATCAGTTAGAAAACTATTGCAAATCTGGGAGCACTGGATGCCTGTCTCGTCCCAGTATGAGAGATTTGAGCAATAGGCACCCGCCAGTCCCACGGGACTTTCAGGCTCCTTGGAGGACATATTACCCTTCAGTCACTGAGTCACAATCAGATGGTCCACATTTTCCTACTTCTGTCAGTTTGAGGTGTAACGTGACGTTCATCCAACGTCGTCGCTGAGTTTCTGTCCTCAAATCTGAATTGGTTCGCCCCACCAGTTATAACTTCTCAATAGGACTTCAGGAAATCTCACCTCACATCAAGTAACTAATAAGCAGTCAACAGTAACTCAATTCTGAGGTTTATGGGGATTTATTTATTCATTTCAAGTTGGTTTTCATCACGGAATGCTATCATTTGGAGAACCATTGATATTAAGGGTGAATATTATGTAGAGTAATAGAGCCTTACAGTGATGCTGAATTATAATCCATTATAATCCATGAAATTGTCTCAGATATAGACGAAAGTTTAGCCCCTTATAAACAAGTGGAATTGGACACTATCTGTAGGCCTAGACAGTGCAAGATCATAGCGCAGATGGTTGCACACTGGATATTTAAACACAAACTTATCTGCTGTCTTCCTCTAAATGTGTTTTAAACTAGTTCAACGTGAATTTCTGACAAGATATTTCTGTCATCATTTCTTAAAACTTATTGGTTTATTATGATATTTAAAGTGAGTTTGATGTTGAGCATCTTTTATTTACTGTCATTCTTGTTGGCATACATAATCTGCGTCATTCTCACTGACGAATTAACGCTGTGATATAAAATAAGTAGCTAGAAATCCTTCACTTTGAAATGCAAATCTTGTTTGTCAGTTAAGCTGTATAAACACTGCTCTCATTCTAAGAACCAAGCTCATTTCCAATAAATCTGGATGAATCAGGCAGTTCAAATACTTGCTTTGAGATGTATTTCTCGAAGTTCTAATGGTGGCTCCTGATCTAGGGGACTAACCACACCAGGCATGAGGACAAATACACACCGATAGTATTGGATAATGGTCGCACTATATCGCGAATTGATAGAAGTAAGAAAATATGGATCATTGAATTCTTATACCGGGAATGAATGACAATCCACTTGCCACGTGACTTCATGGCTGTAGGGGTGACCCCTAGTCTGGTTTCAGGTGCCCGTTGCTGAAGAACCCCGAACCAGGATGAAACAGCTGTCCAGCTTTCTCAGTTTTCAATGATTTGCCAAATAATATCAGTCAGTGATGAATACTACCTTAGAATTTACTTAGTAGGCTCCGCTTAATTCAGCTTCGTAATACAAAATTGACAATAATTGCTGTATTATTGAGGAACTGAACTGTGTGTGTTGAGTGAATTTTAGTTACTCATTTTGTTCAGCTCTACTATGTTCTAACTTAAATAAAGGTTTTTCAACTGGAAGTATGAGTTTACACTGGGTTTGAAACATATTTGTATCCCACTTGACTCTCTGAGATAGTCATGATTTGCTAGACGTGTACTGATACAGGGTGTTGATTGGAGGTGGAATGAAAAAATGGGTTATGGAGGGAATCAAACCAGCAGCTTAGGTCTTGTTAGTAAAGTACCGGGCAGGAAACCTGACGGTTGCTAGTTTGAGTCCTGCTGCTGCCTAGATTTTGATTTCACCGTCACTCATCACTCAGTATATGCTTATGCATATTGGAAACGTGGGAGCACTGGATAGCTGTTTCGTCCTATCAAGGGACTCCTGAGCAGTGCGTACCCATGACTTGACGAGAGATCGAATCCAGGACCTTCAGTTCCCGCGGTCATCATATGAACTTATGTCAGTCCACGGTGAATACTCACGTGATGTCATAATAATGAACATTTTATTTCATCTCATGGCTTTTTAAAATGCAATCTTAACAGAGTTGAAAGTAAATGGACCTACCTCTGTGGAATCCTTTTCTTGCACACTTCTTGTGAGGAAAGTTATTTTGTTGAAGTCCGGATGAAGTTCGGTTAGGCATCTAGCTTTGCTATTGGCTAATTCTGTAACCTCATCTTGTGAAACCTAATGTATAAAATTGAAAAGGTTTTCCTGTTACTCTGATGAAACCAACTGCATACTCTGATCATGCATAAAAGACAAATTAAAGGAATTTTTCAAGTATCTATAGGCTTAAAAGGCTGTTTAGTTTATTCGATAATAAGATTGAGTAGGAATAAATACGTATTGATGAGCACTAAGTAAACTTATATCTATTTCTTCATCATCATCATCACAGAAGTGCATGGATCCAATTTATCATACTTCACAGCAGCATGTAAAGTATAAGTGATATGAAAGTATACAAATGTGTTCTAACGGAAAACGAATTTTAAAATCAAGGTTAGTAAAAATGTTCGAACATTCGAAGGCATCGAAGAATGAATACATCCACACCATTGTTACCAATTTTTAGCCATGCCATTAACCACTGATTCCAGTTGACTTGAGGACCCATAGCAGGAAATCTACATCTCTCCACATAACTCAAACCGGCAGAGACTTGATCAACCTGTGTTACATCTTGATCTGGTCCTCTTTAACCTTATTTCAACCCGATCCAACTCGGCTGGCATTACGTGCAGAGGTAGGTAGTGATTCTTGATGCGCAATACATGTCCAAGCCACCTGAGTCAATGAAGGCTTACAATTATTTCTTGACTAGTACTCTCCGCTTAACTGACATTTCTTACTTGGTGATTCCATCATGCTTGAGTAATACTGCGAAGATGCTGGTATTTGATAACCTGTGAACCATTCATATCAACTTTCTCCAGCTATCAAGTTTTGGGTCAAATTGTCAACTAAATTTATTTTATTTTGTTGATGGCACTATCAAGTTTGATGTTGAATCTTCTTCAATTATTTCGAAAACTTTGGAAGAAGAAGGCCGTGAAGTGAATATTAGTGTAGCAAATAGTTCTGGTTACTTTCATTTTACCCCAGAAATTCTGTTTAGTGAGTGATGGCACTGCCCAACAACAGTGTAAAACCGTCAGTAGTTCATTCTTGTCAAAACTTCTAAGAAACACTAAATTATGAGCACTAAACTGTTCTACAGGCGACACATATAAATCGTGATTATCTTCTTTATGCTGAGTTTCTGAATTTTAGCCACATGAAATGCTGAGGTCAACCAAAATGCGTGAATGCTCAGAGATCCCTAGGGAACCCTGGGCTACCAAATTTATCCACCAAACATTTCTCATCAGATTCCTTCCTTTCAATTTGTTTTAATCGTTTAAATATGTCTTTTAAAGGTATCATTTACTCTTCCACATTTTTAAACTGTCTCCAACTCTCCATTTCTCGAGTCAATAACAAAGCACAGAAAAAGTGTTACGTTATATGGAAATGGACTTTTCAGTGCACAAGAGCACACCATATTTCTATCCATCAGATGCTTAACTTGATTTGCAGATTTTGTACCGTCTGAATGAATCACCATCACCAAAATTATGCTTGAATTTCTGTTGATTCTTCATTATGGACCGGATACCCATCTAGAACCAACTGATTATTTCACATTATTGCCTTGAATACTGTTATTATTAACATCATGCAGATGTGATAATCATTTCGTCTGAAAGTATTGTTCTGGGAGTGAATTTGTTGAAAAATTACATGCTGAAAATTCCATACTATCATTCATATTGTTTGGAACAAAGCGATCATTATTGTTATTATTAATCATGAATGCGGTCCAGTTTATCATGTGGTATATCGCTGATCAGTTTATTTGCTGTGACTATTCCAGATTGAGAGAGTGAAAGGACAGTTGTGGGGAATTATGACTGGAAGATGTTAGAAGACTTAGTCGAGGAGGTCGCTATTGTTTGTGATTGTTATCTACTTAACCTACTCATATTTAAAATATTTTTCCATATATACTTATAGTATACTCACTTTATTGACATAGTATGGGAAGAGTTAAGATTTGTATTGCTGTATAGATTTATATCAGAAAATCATCGACAACAGATGCTTAGGTAACCTCTAGTTGAAACCAGCAAAGTAAACATATTAGTAATAGGGCGCACAAGAAACTGACACCCTATTGTGTAAACATTTCATATCATACACACAATATCAGAGAATTTCATCATGAAATGTGATTTCTAATAAGACATGATATCCCGTATTTTTGTATCCATTGTCACAATAGTAGAAGCAGACATAACAACTGTAGTAATTGATTTCTGGGTGGTATCATACAAGGCTTAAGTGTATGCATATTTTCAGATGGACGAAGGTTTCAACTGCATTGGAATACAAGCCTACTGATCAACTGAAACCTACATTTTAATCGTCTTTCACATTCATATACCATTTGTGGATCCTGACAGGTGTATCATCTAGTTTGATAACTTAATTCTTATAGCATCACCTTAAATGTTTCATATTAAACTGTTCAAGCATATTATAAATAAGAAAGTCAAATATTTTGGTGTTAGGTGGTCGCAATCAGTCAGCAGAAAGCCCTACTCAACCTAAATTCTTTCTTGTTGGAACACACCAGCAGCATGTATCTGCAACCATGAAGAGAATAATGTTACTTCGGGAACTAGAACCTGTGTTACTCAGTGACGAAGTCAGAGACCCAGCAACTAGTCTATTAAAACTATGACTGACTTTCTCCAGGACTGGATTGGGTAGACCAATTGGTCACCAGGGGTAACCGATTCAGCTGTTCAGTCCTCAGCACCCAACACTAACTACAGTCTGTCGATGAAAACCCAAAACATTTAGGTACATAATGTGCTAAGAAAGGCAAGTATTCATGAAAAGCAAAAATGCATTCCTATGGATTGCATCAGTTTAGGGTCAACTGTTCTGTCGAGTCATAAATTCTGTGAATTAAATCGATAACTAAAATATTTATGAAGAGCTCAGATGTCTTCAGGTGAATATCCAGAGGCTTACTCCGCCGGGCTTCAACTACAGTGCCATTTAGTTTATTTATTAGATGTGTCACGCATCTAAACGGTATTGTTTACTGGATAACTTTTCGGACATAATTCATTGTCCATATATCCGAAACGTTATTCAGTAAATAATACAGTTTCTCTGTGACGTATCTAAACACACAAAAATAGGATTTCACTGCCTAAGTTTGCCTTCGATATTCTTTCACATACGATTTATACATCATGTGAACTAATCGGTGTGAATACGCTTAAATAAATAAATATTCACTCACTTTCATATGATAGGCGACCATTTCTGTGTTAACCTCATTTCTATTCCTCATGACAAGTAAATCACACTTCAGGTTAACCTGTAAGGAGAAAATAAGTACAAATACAAGTCATATAAATATATATATATATATATATATATATATATATATATATATATATATATATATATTGCGGATCAGTACGGATCGGAGAAGTATATGCTAAAGCTGGAAGCGTTGAATAGGTGTTTCGTCCCATGAAACTCCTCATTTGTGCATACTCCTAGTGAAATCCACTTTAGAATCAATCACTTACTAGCATAAGCTAGAAATATCGGTTATTTCATTTATTATTGATATGACTTTTAGCTTGGTAGTGTTTTCATCATTTTGTCCGATGAACATTTTACGATTAAAATGACATTCTACTTCTTCTACTTCTTCATCTTCTTCTTCTTCTATCTGTCATCGAAGTTTCATCAATCTGCCTATTATGTTGACTGTCTATCAAATACATGCTATAACATGTTATTTTCCCTTTCTTCGAAGTCTGCATTTATTCTGACATTGTTTACTACCGTATACAATTGACTATTGATATAGTGTATCTGTTTAAGCTATTTAACACCGATTCATTTAAAACCGATCGACTTGTCATACTTAAATGGCAAATTTTCAAAGAATGTAGTTGTTAAATATCATTTAAAGCAATACCTAACGATAATTACCCAACTTTATACAATAAATAACCAGTATCTTTATCAAAGATTTATTCATAGCATTGAAAGACAACTACTCAGAGTCAGTATATGCTTAATCAGCTAATCTTGATAAGGGTGGAGTATTGAAAGTGTGAAATTTTGAGATGAAATGTAGGCATACTTCTAATGGGTTTACATGTAATTAAAATGGATACTAAAATGTATTAACTGTTGGTTACACGACAGACATCATTACACGCCTGTTTATCTATTAATTCTCCTCCTTCTGAAGGCAAAGTGCTTTTGGTACAAAAAAACATTTTACGGTTATTTGTTTTATACAGTCTGAAGGTTGCGTACAAATGATGCAGCTGAATCCATTACCACTATTATGGTCAACTCCAGAATAGATATATTCTAAAGCACCATTTCGCATCAGCCATTTGAATTGTATACTTCCAAACCACTTGGACATATGCTATCACCTCTTCCTTGTAAAATGAAATTTTATCAGACTCTTGCACTTTTATCCCCGTAAACTTGTGAGATCTAATCTATCGATTTTACCTGACTATCCTTTTTTCAATCTTGTTACGTGATTGCACACAAGAAATTCCACTGTCTTCAATTTTATTTCACTTCCTATTGAATTATGCTTCAATATTTTGAAGAGAAATCATAGAATGTTTCTCTTTTCCGACTGACTTTGGTACAAAATCTCATATACGATTGTTATTTGCATAGCCAACATGGATACGTCGCTATACAACTAAAGTAGAAAGTTATTGAAAAGACTATTCTTTTGTTCACTGGGCTACAGTACATCAAATCACTAAGGAATTTTCGTTTCAGGTTGATATTCATCATGCATTGACATTAATTTGGGAATCACTGAAGACCTGAGAGCACTTTGCGGCTGTGCTGTCCCACTATCATCATCATTCATCATTATCAACATAGGACCAGGCATTACTGCGTAACGGTCCGAGTTGCCACACCTCATATCAGCACATCAAGTAAAAGGTAGTGAGGTGAAGGATGAAGATAAGTGAATGCAGTCAAAAGAAATATAAAGAAGAGAAGAAAGGAAAGAGGAGTGACAAAATGGTGAGATTCGGTATAGCGTTGTTAAGATGAGGATAATGTGTGTATACATCTGCGCCACTGACTTCGGTTCTGAGCCATATCACCTAGGGTCTCCAACCACTGGTTCCTCTTGTCCCCGGACCCCAACCACCTAGTCTGCATCGTCCTACATGGCTTAAACCAACAGTCAGAGACTTCATACATTGGTGCCATGTTTTAGTCTGGCCACCTCGGGCCTTTTTCCAGCCTGGACCCACCTCAGCCAACATTGTGTGACGAGGCAATCGGTGACTAGGCATACGTAGTACGTGTCCCAACCATCTCAGTCGATGAAGGTTCACAACCTCGTCAACTGACTTACCTCTTCTCTCTAAAACTCTACACCTAACTTCTGCATTACTCACATGGTGACACCACGGAATACGTCCTATACTACGAAGGCAACGGTGGTCAAACACCTGAAGCCTTTTTATATCTTCCACTTTCAATGGCCATGTTTCACAGCCATACAGTAGAACAGAGCGGACTGCTGTGCAGTACACGCGACCCTTAATAGACAAACGAATATCACGGCGGCGCCATAGGTGGCGCAAATTGGCAAAAGCCAATCGAGCCTTTTGTATCCGTGCAGAAATCTCATCGGCAACTAACCCACCAGGGTTGATCCTACTTCCCAGGTAAGTGAAGTGGTCAACACACTCAACCACTTCACTCTCTATTGTTAACCGCGGTACCGCTGAAGACCAGTCCTGGAGCAAAAATTTGCATTTGGGTGGTGAAAATCGCATCCCAAACATTCTCAAATTCCCACTCAAAGTGTTCAGAAGACTCTGCATCTTGTCAGCGTCTTCACCTAACAGGACTATGTCATCTGCATATTCTAGATCTAAAGAAAATTCACCTGTGATTGGGTCAACGTCTGTGTAATTAGGTGACGAGAGGGAAACCTCCATAAGAATATCTATGATAAAATTAAATAAGAATGGGGATAGTGGGCATCCTTGACGGACACCACTTGATGAGTATAGCTCCCTGGACAACTCACCATAGGCTCTAACATGCCCACAAGTGTTCGAGTAGAGAGCTTTCAATAAGGTGATGTACTTACTAGGCACGCCTTTCAGTGACAGACATTGCCATAAGACTTCTCGATCAACGGAGTCAAATGCCGCCTTCAGGTCGAGAAATACAGCTATTGTCGGGCGTCTGTAAGCATGCCTATGTTCCAGGACCTGGCGCAGTGTGAATATTTGGTCGATACACCTACGGCCAGGTCTAAAGCCTGCCTGGTTTTCTCGGGCTTGCTGTTCCCGAGCTCCACTCAGGCGTCGGAGAATTATAGAACTTAGGATCTTAGACACTATGTTCGTCAGGCTGATTCCTCTGTGGTTATCACAAGAGGACTTCTCGCCTTTCTTGAAGACTGGGATGATGAGTGACTTAGACCAGTCGGAGGGGATCGTATTTGATTCCCATATACTGGCTAACACTTCCGTTAACCTGACTAAGAGCTCTCTACCACCATTCTTGTATACCTCAGCAGGTAGTCCGTCTGGTCCTGCTGCCCTTCCCCGTTTCAGGCTACCTACCGCTTTCTCAACTTCTTCTAGTGTTGGGGGGCCTGTCTCTATGTCCCATTCAGGGTCCGACTGGATAGCGGGCAGCGCAATGGTGGCTGGAGGCCAGTTAAACTGTTCCTCGAAGTGTTCTGCCCATCGTCCAGTCGTCTCCCCTGCGAGTGAATCGCAGATCCGTCCTTCTCCGCTATAGCCTCACTAACTGTTGTTGACCATTTCCCCCCAGTCTCCTTAATAAGTCTAAATAACTGTCTACTGTTACCGATCGCCGCTGCCTTTTCCATCTCTTTAGCCTTCACTGCCCACCACTGTTCACGATCGTTGCGCAGACTTTTCGTCAGTCTATTTTTAAGTTGCGCTCGCTCTTCATTGTACTCAGAGCCTGCAGGGTGCGTTCACGTGCAGCCATTAGTTCCACTATGAGACTCCACAGAGGTGTGCGTCTGTGACTTCTCCGGGAGTCTAACCAAGGACCTTCGGGTTTCACTGTTAGCATGTTACCATTTAGCCGCTAGACCTAAATCCAATGGTCCACATTCCCTACTTTTGTCGGCTCACGATATAGCGCGACCTCCGTCTAGCACCATCATTCAGTTCCTGTCCTCACACCCAACCTAGCGTGCTCCACTGGTCACGCATCCATTAGAGCTTCAGGAAATCTCATTTCGAAGCAAGTTACTATTGAGAACTAGAGTAATTTGATTTTGCAGGCATTTTAGAGATGTGTTTAAAGATTTCAGGTTGATATTCATTATAGACTGACATTGGTTGGAGGAAATTCTGTTTCAGCTAAAAGGATCTACACAGAACTTTCCAATATTTCAGTAAAAGAACAAATATCATGGGGGATAACTGAGCTCCATCACAGATTCTCAACAGATAATTAGTCACATTTAGGTTACCTAAACACCAGGTGATCATTTTAATAGTTTGTGTTGAGCTCATCACCTGATGACAAATAAGCGCTTACTGATGAAAAAATTTGTATCTTGATATAATTTGTGCTGAATTAGCTAACAGTAATGCAACTTTATAAAATCGATCGGGGTTTTATGAGTCAATTACAAACTCATCTGAATGTAGAACAAATAATCAACTTATGATTTCATATTACCAGCATCCACGGGCAGATTTTACTACTCCATTTTTATTGGCTATTTCATTTGCATTTAGAACATATCGTCATCAAGACCAACTACATTTTTCTACCTGCTTTCTCCAATAGTTGAACATTTTAAACATACTTCAGGTTACGAATCTCAATGAAAGCTCGACAGTTTTATACATACATTATACTGCAATTCCAGTGAATTTCAAGAAACTTCCTGAATTAATTAAATGTGAGAATATTTTGTTCTTTCCTTCCTTCATTCATTCATTCATTCATTTTAAACTCGATTATTTCTAAGGTAGTGTATTAAAACTATGCCATTTTGCACTAGTTTACTTTCCTAACATGTTTGTGTACTAATTATGAGCAGTTTATTAAAGTTCAATGTCCAATGGTCATTTTATTTGATTGTTTAATTAAATAGTAGGAACTTACACTGACATATTATAAAGATACCTTTTTCAAAAAGAAGATAATTATTTGATTCTACAAGTTTCCAATGAGTATTCAATTTCAATCTGTTTATTTTCTTTCACTATCTCATTAAGTTGTCTTAATGTGAGTAAGAGGAATTAAAATATTATGAAGTCTTAGATTTATGGCGCCCTAATTTAAATTATCCAACGTTATAGATTAGCCACAATTGGAGAAAAGGAACCAGTTCACGGCTTTTACTATTTGTATTGTTTTACAGTTTTATGTATGCATAAATATTTAGGCACTTGTATATATTGATATCATAGTGTCTGTAGAAGGTTGGAGAGTCCCATTTTGGTTAACAAACAAAAAAACATGTTTAGTCAAGTGATAAACTAGTGATTTATGCATATTTTAGATAGTAAAACTTATACTAAATGTGACATTGTTTATTTTTGAATTGGTTGTAATGAAACCGGATGAACATAGTGAAGCGGAGAAATAAAACTAATTGCGACTAGTAAATACTGATTCTTCAACAGAATGTTTTTATAGTGTGTAATCGTAATGTCGTTAGTGAACCACATATGTCACTAAGGAAACTGGTATCTAAATGTTACATACACAGACGGATTTAAGGTAGTATTCATCACGGAGTGACGTCAGCTGGAGAACCATTGAAAGCCTTGGAGCACTGGACACATTTCTGTTCTGGTAAGGTACTCCTCAGTAATACATACCTATGACCTCGTCAGAAATCGAATCCAGGACCTTCAGTCTTCATGACGAACACGTTAACTGTTCACCACTAGGTGAGAGTTCAGTGACCCACAGTTTCGAACTTCTGTGAAATTCGCGATATAGCATGGATGCCACTCAAGGCCATCAGTTGATATCCACTTCACTGCCAATTTGGCTGAGCCCACAAGTCATGACTTCTCATTAGAATTTTGGGATATTTAGATATCCTAATATAAGGAAACTGTGACTCAAATTAAATCTAAATGGTAGTTTGTGTTGTGAAAATAACCGTAACATGATTCATGAAACCTACTGACTAAGGGAAACGAAATCACTTCAGTTGTACAACCTAATTATGTATGAAGCAACCTTCTTAAGGAAATCTCGGTACATAAAAAGGGGTCAATAGCTGGTAATCGAAGTTGTTGCTAAGTTTGGAGTACTGTTTGAAGTTTATCTGTCGAATTTGTGATAGAACTATTAAGCGCATTGAAATGAAACTACTGTGGGGTGAATTTTGTCGTCATCAATTAAAAGCCAACAGTATGCCACCCAGTATAGTAGTTGTTAACACTCATCAGCAGACTGGAACTGATCTTCTGCAAAGTTGCTGATAAGCACTAGCTGAAGGGATATGTAAACTTTCAAAATGTGGCCTATATCATAAGTGACTTCAAAGTAGCGAGCAGCTTTCAGATAACAGAGATTTTCTTGTGGTAATCAGTCTGGAAATTACAGCTAATTAGTTGACTTCGGTTTTGTAAAGCAGTATCTTTAGTTTTTTTAAAAATGTTACCATATAAGCAGAATTGATAAGCCAGTGATATAGACACGAAAGGTTGAGGTTCTACTTTCATCCTCCAACTTCTCGTATGATAAGCATGGGAAATATGATCTTCAGAGACCCTAATAAATGTCTTGTGAGTACAGATTTACATTCGCGTTGTACTGGAAGTGTCAGAAATCGAGATAACTAGGTAGAAATATAATACCGGTGACCAGATACTCTATATCCTATACAGGTCGTATCTTTCAAACGAGTTACAGCATTTATTCTATGCAAAATGAAGCAAATTAAATGCGAATATGTGAATGATTTGTGTTAGGGATGCCTATGTCTCTTATATTCTATATTTGAGCTCGTTTATTTCTTACTGTTTTCCCGCACATGGGTCATATTTCGTATGACCGGCTGTTGTTCTGACTGGCTCCTGCCTCTTTAAATGTACTAATTATTCCCTGTCTTTCAAAGTTACTGTAAACTCTGTAAATAGGGTCCGTTTTCACTCACAAATGTTTTCAGTCCGAGGTACTATAAACTCATCTGGTTTCCACTGTTTTGATTTATTCTTGCAAATCACTCAGGTTGAATCTCCTCAACCCTGGGCTATCGATCGTTCTCACAACTCCAAATCATTGTCACTGACTTCATTTGAAAAAGTATATGTACCGAATGAGACATCACTTTCTTACGTGACGTTTATGATTCCTATACAGCTTGAAACCAAAGATGATGTGGAAAATACTTAGGTAAACCATGTCAAACTGTACTAATGTGACAGACAGTGAAATAAAGTCAATAGACGGAGAGATTTTGACCATCACAAACTTTGCAACTTCAAACTCGAAAAGGAAACTGAGATAGTTCCTGGGAAAAGCATTTGTATACAGCCAGTTCATTGTAACCTCAATAGAATGGCATTTTCAACGTAGGAACTGTTGTAAAACTCGAAGTTTGGGTGCATCCAAGACGCTTAGAATAAATGGTACCAAATTAAGGTCTTGAATGACCTTAAGACTACCGATACACGAAAACCGTTCATCGTTTCCACAGATGCTAATGATTTTGGAACAGGTACAATTCTACGACAGATCGAAGGGGCTTTTTGAGTATACTAGCCGTGTATTGAATAGTTGAGATAGAATACTTGACAACGGAGACCTTACCTCCTCGGACAACCAATTCATATTGAGACTCACCAACACTACAGTCCGGAGTATAGGGTAGGGACTATTTTTCTAATAGTTGAGGAACTCATTGTCATCTTGAAGTTTAGAGGTCATTTAAAGGCAACTGCTACGAAAATGTACACTCCAGCAACCTCCTGGTAGGTCCTACATTATCTGACATTTCTTAACTACTTATATGGTGAGTAAATTAGAATCAGTATGACTAACTGAGACAGCCGTGGTTTGGCAGACTTGTATTGATACCGGATGATGACTGAAGGTGAAATGAAATTTGGGCAGTGGTAAAATTCTAACCAACAATCACCTGGTTCCTGGTCTGTTGAGCTACCGCGTCTCGTATCTCAGTTGATAGGGGATCAAGTCAGAAACCTTTCGGTCTCTGGTCCGAATCCCGCCGTGGCCGAAATTTTCATTTCACCTTCAATCATTATCCAGTATAAATTAGAATAATCCGAAATTGTAATTACGTAATTAAACCATTGTACACCTAATTTCCTGTTACAATTTTCAGAAGTTTCATTCACTATTACAGCGATTAGCACAAAACGTAGACTTTTCTATCTATGATATTTCATCAACTAATAAAGAACAACTTAACCTCTGTAGGCAGATGGACTCTTATGTGGACGTCTCGATTCTGCCGGATATTTATAATGTTATATTATACCAAAGAGAAATTACAAGTAACGAAACATTAACTGATATTCGTTGCACAAGAGATGGTTATCACTCCCCAGTGACCTAGTTGATGACATTTCGGCGTTTAAAACAATGGGTCTTAGTGGGAACAACACTCAATAAGATGCAGTTATATCTAGCCGACAAGTTCTAAATAGGATGACCACCAAGAAGAATATAATATTAAAAGAAAATTTTTATCTCAAAGTTCTCAATAGTATTTTCAGAAGTATACATGATTAGAATGAAAATAGTCTTCAGTTTATTATTTTGTTAGATCAATAATTTTTACAATCCCAAGAGAATATATAATTGTACATATTAAATAAGTTTAAAACATACTTGAAAGCAACTTACTTGATGCAAGAGAACAGATAAAAAACCGGTAATACAGTGTGATAGTAAATATCTGTCATGTCTTGAAAATCTATCATTCTTGTCGTGTTTACTTAGTTCAATTATAGTTGAAAGGTTTGTTCCATAAGATGAAAAATCAATCAAATACACACTGAAAGTTAGAAATAAAAATTAGGCAAAATTTAATATAATGACAAGTAGATATTAATTTTATTCGGAAGTTAAAATATTTTGATTGAATCAGTTTATTCTGTCATCGTTTAATGAAACGTAAAATAACAAAATACCTTACTGTAAAATACAAAGGCATTAGCATTGTTATATGAATTTAGTTAATAGGCAGTTATTATTTACTATTTATAGTTCATTTCAGAGTATCCAGAACTCTATAGTTGATGGTACTTCAGTTCAGATCCTTATTCATATATTCAGTAATAAAATTACACTGGAAAAGTGTATCATGGTGGTGGTGGCCAATACTAGAATCTAGAGAATACGTTTCGTCTTATTTTGGACGGACTCATCAGCTGTTTGAATATTCAGGGAATATCAAGACACCTAATTACGAACCCATTTACAAGCAGAGGGCGAGGAATTCTACCAGGTATAAAAACGTGAAATTTTAAGTGTCAGTAAACGATAAAATTGTCCTTACTTTCATTTTGTAGAGTACAGGCAGAAATTAGTAAATTATTTTGAGTTGTTACCCAAAACTGTTATTACCTATTATTATTATTATTTTCTTTTGGGTTCCTAGTGGAACATAGGACTTCAGTAGCAAGCCTCCATTGCGCTTTCTTCTCTGTAGTCTTTTGAAACTCGTACCATGACTGCTCACAGTCTGTTATTTCTTCCTCACACGATCTCTTTCATATCACTCTCCGACTCCCAACTCGTCGTTTTCCATTCACGTTCCACTCGAGGTCTGGCCTGGCACGTGATGTCCCCAATCGGTCTTCTCAGTGAATCCCCAGTCCAAGCAATCTCCACTCTCTTCCTTTACATATTTGATGGACGATGGGTTCTTAGTTGGTTCGTTCCCAGAGTTCTTTGTTGCTTATTCTTTCTGGCCTTATAATCTGATCTTCAGTATCGAGCCAGCGTAGGCAGCCGTTGATGAATGTCTGTAGTCTTTTTAAATAGCTTTTCGTGACGTGCCAAGTTTCCGAACCATATAGCAGCACTAAACTGACATTGGTGTTGAAAATCCGGACTTTGTTCACGCTTTATGCTGAGTGCAGTGCAGCAGATCTCCACGCTGACCTCAGACTGATGAAAGCCTGTCTTGCTAATCCCATCCTGGTTTTGACATCCTCATCTGTGCCGCTTGTAGTTGAAACGACGCTGCCCTGCCTGGGTAGGTGAAAGAGACTACTTCCTTTAGGTTTCTCCAGTTGATGGTGATTGTTGCTTGTTGTTGTTGGTGGTGGTTGGGTATGTTTATCACCTCTGTCTTCTTTACATTCACTTGAGGTCCTGTCTTCGTTACATCCCCTTAACTGTCAACTTGTTAGTTTTTGCTTGTAGATCTTCGAGTTTGTGTGATATTAGACATAACTGATCAGCGGCGAAATTCAAATTTTCTTCTGAGTTCTTTTCACCGCTCGAACAGAGTATGGCCATCATCTCGCTCCTCACGGTTCGCTGCATGGTCCAGCCCAGTTGATCACAATCAGGCAGATCATTTGTGATGGTAGGCGGCAACCTTGTCTTACTCTAATCTTCACTTCAAAGACATCACTGAGTAGCCTTCCATAGTCAGTCATTTGGCATGTAGCATCATATAGCATGTAGCTGCTATTGAATGAGGTTGATAAATGTTTGTGGCACTGAAAGCGTAGTGTTGAAGCAGCTGTCTGTCAAATCACTTCTCTTTCGACGCTCTTTTTAGAGTCGATGAAGTTGAGGTAGAGAGTTGATTGCTATTCTATACTCTATTCTATGATAATGCGTAGTGTTGCAATTTGATCCAAGAGAGGTTGCTATTACCTATAATAACTTAGTTTTCATTTACTTTCTTGTGGCTAGCAGAAGAATCTAGGATGCGCGTTTCTCCCTATTTAGGACTTGTCAGCCGTAGGTACTTGCATCCCAATGAGTGGTTGTGAGTGTTGGCCCCAATGAGACCAGAACCCCATGCCCATCGTTTCAAACGCCAAGGCGTTATCCACTAAGCCACTGAGGGACAATAGTCATCTCTTGCACAACAGGTAATAGTTCTAACTTTTTGTTGATGTGCTTTTAATTCTCTTTTGTTTTACCGGATTGAATTATTCGATCTCTGTTGGGATATAGGCTCCTATGCAAATGCCTCGATATTGACTGAATATTTATTAGAGTAATTAGTTTTCATTGTCTGATAATTTAGTATCTGGCAAATCATAAAAATGGAATAACTAGATCATTTGTTTTTAACTGCTTTCGTCTGAATAATCACCTTTACACTTTCCTCTTAGTTGTACTATGCACCGATTGTTTGGTTATTCAATTACTCTAGTGGTTAAAATACTGACCGATTGTATCTTTTTCATCAGCCTTCCCAGCCTTAATGATATTACCTGTCGCTAAATAAGACCGAGTAAGTGAAGTGAGGTTTAAATCGAAGGTTGTTAGGGAAAATTATTTAAAAACCTTCATTAACTGTAAATATATGGCTGATGTATTCACATCCTTTGCAAAGACAAACTGAATGAGTCATGAATAGTCACTGAGTTTAGTGAAGTGAACTCAATCCTAAAATTTATGTATGAAGAAATATTACATACTAAAATAGCCCTTTCAAACGCTTTTCTTTGGAATTCAAGTCAAATATAAAAAGTTTATCATTTTTGTAGAAAGATAAAAATCTTATGTACGAAGAAAGAATTGACAAACTCAGTCGAAAGAAGGACCAGAAATGTACTTAGAGGACTTTGAAAGAGAAGTTGATCGGTAACTTCACACATGACGATTTGAATGAAGCCTCAGGGATCTCGTTTACCTTTTATGTATGGTTTATCGAAGGTACATGAATAGAATGGTTGTTAAGAACCCTATTATAAATGTTTATCAATGTTCAGCATACCATAAAGCTGTTCACTAGTTAGCCAAAAAATTGGAACTTGGGTAAATACACCATGAAAGACTGGTTTCAGTTTATTAAGACGGCAAATCCATTTAATGTCTTGAATGAGTTCATGGTTTCTTTTGATGTGAAGATGGATCAGCCCTGATGGTTCGGTGGCTGACGGAATATGTGCACGGATACGAAAGGTTTGGTTGGCTTTGGCTAACCTACGCCATCTGTCACGCCACCACGATATCCGATTATCTATTAAGCGTTGAGTGTACTATGCTGCAGTCCATTCTGTCCTACTCTATGCGCGGAAAACATAACTGTCAAGGGTAGAAGGTATGAGAAGGCTTCAGGTGTTTGACCACCACTGCCTTCGTAGAAGAGGCCATGTTTCATGGTATCACCGCATGAGTAACGCATAAGTCAGGTGCAGAGTTTTAGGAGGAGAGGAAAGCCAGTTAATAAACCTTTATCGACTGAGATGGCTGAGACATCTAGTTCATATGCGTAGCCACCATCTGCCTTGTCGCATAGTGTTGGCCAATGTAGTTTCAGACTTGAAAATGACCCTGGAAGGCCAGACTAAAACAAGTTATCAATGCATGAAGTCCCTGACTGTTCGTCTGAGTCATGTACAGCTATGCAGACTAGTGGGTTAGGGTCTACAGAACAAAAGAAACTAGTGATTGGATACAGTATGTGATTTGGCTCAGAACCGATGTCAGTGGAGCAGAAGAATACATTCACCCGCTAAACTACAAGAGGCATTATTGCTTCTCACAATGTATCTTGAAGAAGATAGATATCTAAAGCACCTCATCGACAAATACAATGGAAGAGAAAGCCGTTAGATCGAGAAAATATTAGTCAGTAAGAAGCTGTTCCTCATTCACCTCGACTTCAGAGTTGATGATACAGAGATGATGGTAAACTGAAGACTAAACACTGCAGTGGCTAGGACGTATCCCACAGCAAAGCTTGTTCCGTTGTTTCGTACTTCGTGTTCACTAGTACAAGCAACAATTGGCAGGCACCCCCAATTTGTTACCTCCAATTATTATGTGGATCAATTCATATGTATCTGCCGGAACAGCTACTTTGGAGAAACAGAAAGAAGGGCTAACCTTTGATATTTCAAATATGTTCTGAAGTGCCTAAGATTGAGAGGAGCAAGTATCCTCAGTAGTGCAATTACTAAGCACTTCTTGGCTACAGCATATCAAGGATATGCATCAAAACCATTCAATGTAATCAACAAACAGAATAATTCAAATCTTCGCTTCACTGAAGCCACTGAAACCAAATATCTGAAACTAGATTTATGTGTTCAATAGGAATCTATCGTCGACCTTCGCCTACCCTGGGAATTTAATTTCCTAATGTTCCACTTATACGATTACATAATTTTCCTGTGATTAGATTTACATTTAGTTTTCTGATTACTACTGGCTTGTCTAGTTAATGACATAAGTAATCTCTTATTCTAAACTATGCAGGATTATTTAATGTTTATTTCCAGCTAAATGTTTACAAGAAATTTCGACCCAATGATAATAATACATTGTCCCGATCTGACTGATTTCACTGAACCGAAGTATGTTGATATCTTATAGTAATTTGTTAGTATCAGTATTCTAGGTTTAAAACGGCTGATGAAAACTGCCGGAATAGTCAAATTAACCCATATTATTCTGCTCCAATGTTCTTTTTTGGTCATTTAAAATGGAAAATAACAAACTGGATGTATCAGGTAAATATAGAGGTGGTATTTTTTACACTGAGAATAAAAAATAGCTCTGAAGTGCAGTGACTTGCTGATACACATTGCTTACAGAACAATTTACGTTTTCATCTCATTTCATCTTTAAAGTTCAATTTTCTCAATTTTAGTACAACAGTATTTTCAAACCAAGTTCATACTATTGTGTATTCAAACTACTGGGTATGTATACTTGGTTAAAATGCTACATTGTACCAGGAAACTAATAAAGTTTTCGAAAATTTCCAGGTACTTGACACATAGAATATGTATTTCTCTTTACCAATGACCTTTAGTACATGAAATCAAGCTGAACTGTGTGCTATTTATCTATCATAATGTTTCAGTCTTATTACTAGATGATATAGTATCTATGTCAACATACTTTGCTTGTATGATAGTGTTCAAATATCACTCCTGAAACTTCCGAAATTTTCCAAGAGGAAACGAAGAAGCTAAGGACAAAGCTTGATGGCTGATCAAAGTGTAAAAATGTGGCATTTAAACTCTTGAATATGTGGTTTTTTCTCTATAAATTAGAATGGGCCAGTAAGTTTTCAAGAAATTTTCTCCATCTTTAAAGGATTAGAAGAGTAGTACTACGCACTATAGCACTATTTCATCAAAAGCTTGTCAGTTCACACTAAAAAAGGAAGGATTCATGACATCTTGGTCAGTTGGTCAATGTAGTTAGAAATAATAGTTAAATCTATTGAAGGTTGATGGCTAATTAACGAAGATAAATTATTCCATTTTGATGAATGACTGGGTAAGTATACTGTACGAAACTATTTCATCCTACCTATGAACTTATGAGCGATAAACCTCTATAAATATATAGGGGGTCGATCTTAGGATCATGAGAGTCATGTGACGAGCGTGTCACCATTCAACCAACGGGTTAGAATCCAGTGGCTCTCAGTTCTTTATTTCTGCCAATTCATAACATAACGGGATCATAGTTTAATACCATCAGCAGGTATTCGTGGCATTGTGGACTTGGTTGACCTATAGGTCACAACTTCATTCTAGAACTTTGGGAAATCCATCTCGAAGAGAGTGAGTGATGAGCGCTGTAAAGTAATTCATGATGAGTCTGTGATGAAAGTGACTTTCCAATCAAACTACCACCTGACATAATATATGAACATTCAGTGTTCTTAATAAACAGTTGATATCCCAGGAAATATGTTTTGGAGTGATACGTCAGTCAAAGCTAAGTTTATGGGTAGCATGCTGACCGATGAAGAGACATTAACAGGCACAACTTCCTTTTGAAAGTCGCACAATAGTGACAATTCAAAGTTGGTCATTTTTCGTACTTTACAGATCATCACTTTACGTTCAAAGAAAACCGAGCTTCTTTACGGTAGTCTATCCATTGATAGAGCCAGATAAACTGAGAGACACAGTAACTAACTTGAAACACGCTGAAGCTACAAATAACCACAAAAACTGCTCATATTCAGTATTATAATTCTTGATTAGTATCATGTACATTTCAGGCCTGAAACAATCTTTAAACAGTAACACACATACTGGTGATGGAAGGTAAATTAGGACACAATATTGGTGTTCACGTTTTTGTCTTAAATGAAGTGCTTTTGTTGTACACAAATGATGACAGTCAGTATGACATTGAAAAGGTAATTCTCAGTGAATCTTGATAATGTTGTATTGCCCAGTTAAATGTTACTTGGTAATTTATTTCCTTTTTACAAAAAGACTGAAACTCACTTTGAATCAAGTTGATTGATAAAATTTGTGATGATGTCTACTGAATCAGATTTGAATATTTCCTCATGGTTGTTGACTTCCACTACATAGAAATTAAAGTGAAGATGGATTGTGAAAGTAACTAATAACTGTTTGAAATAGGCAATTAAATACAAGATGTTTTCAGAAGCAATAACATATGAGTTGTAAAAGGAACGTTATTAACTATTAAGACAGGAGGAAACTCAAAAATGCCTCCCTTCCACGAGTATTTCAAAAGGCTGAAGACATCTTACAAAAGAGTTTAAAAAATATCAAATTATTTTTCCTGGTTACTATTTTTAGTTAAGTATGACGAAAGACACCCTCGGTTTTCTAGATGCGAAATTCAAACATTATTTAACATTGAACAGTCTAATTTCCATACTTCAAACAACTTACTTTGTTTTAATAAACTCTTGAATATCCATGATGGCTTACTCCATCTTCGTTTATGCAGTACCTGTAAAGTAAAAATCTCTGTGTGAAACAGGACATTTTTAGTGTTAAATAACAAATAACATCAGTTAAAGAAGGTTTACACATACAATCACAATGTGATGTTCAGTCTTTCTGTCTTTAATCAGTGGTGGCTACCAGGTGATATGTTTCGCCTTGTCAGGTCTTCATAAACAGGACCTAGTTGCATCCATGTTGGTATTCCCACTGTAACTCCAACCCAGCATCGATAGATCTCTAACTGTTGAAATGATATCCACTAGACTATTAAATTACGATAGCCTCATTTTAATAAAACTCATTGAAAATTATGTCGATATGCAAAGTGCATTCAAGAACGAACGAAGTTTTTCTTTCCTTCGACTTCCATAGAATGACTTAGAAAAAGGAGTTACCTGATTTCATTATTGCGAATACATACTGTTCAGTTCCATCCAGGTCCTTGTAAAGTATGTTTTTAAAAAATGCTATTCAATCGTACAAGGGTTATAACGAATAAACTGTAGTCAGAAAGAATAACAACGCGCATTTTCTTCAAGTATTGACAAAATTGTAAATTATCAGTTTGACTCTCTGAAACAGTAGTGGTTTGGCAGACTTTTACCAATGCTGGATGATGAAAGAAGGTGGTTTGGAAAAAATCTGTACTAAGTTTGAGTAACGGGTGTCCATTACTTTTTGTGGTGAGACCTTCAGACAAAAATGAGGTTTACAAATGTATCTTTAATTTATCGGTATTATTTAACCTTCCGTTGTATATTATACACTTTGTTAAACGTTTCCTTTAAAAGGAGGTTGTAAATGACTTCAGGTTACGTTAGGATTGGTCTTATTGATATTCTGTAGTAGCAACACTCAACTGCTTCTGCAAGATACCATAACCTTCATCATGCAGTTAAAATCAAAATGACTGTCTGCATGTTTATTTTCTATATCTATTCTGGTGGGAACGCACTTGTATAAGAATGAATTACCAGTGGATAACAAATATGTCTGTATAGTCCTTATTGCTCAGAGCTAATTGAAGTTTATCGAATTAGTTCACAATATGGCCACTGAACTAAGTGAAAGAACACTGCAGTTTCTGTACCTTAGTATTAGGTGTTGAAAATCAATCTCCAGTTCCACATTACTTCACTTAGTAGGCCAATGACAATATTTATCGATCAACTTCAGTTGGGTTAACACTTTTGGCTAAACAGCTACACTGGTTGCTCACTGGTAACAGATTCGTATCTATAAATCACTCCTATAGGGGGGAGGCATTTGTGGTGTGGATAGCTTAACGATTAGATCTCTGACTTAGACATCAAGTGACGCAGGTTGAAATCATCGTAGGAACAAGAGGGTCCTGATGCCTACAGGGAAGATTCGCTGTTGAGTGCCAACATGGAGGGAATTCGGGTCAAGCAGGGGATTCTACTGACTGTCTCCAGAAATATAGCATCAAATATTTTTGTACTCGGATCAACAACAGACAGACAGTGATTCAATCTAAGAGTTTTAATGACTATGAAGTAATATAGAGCATCATCATTTTCTCTAAATCAATTTTACTGAAATGGAATTTATTATTAGTAGGTGGTTGTGGAAACAAATAACTATTACTGGCTCTCAAAGCTATCGGGATGGCTTTCTTCTCAGGTCAACCCTAACAAAGCTTCAGTATACTGAAATCGATCTTGAGAACAGTGAAAAATATTCTATTTTAGTTGAATTATTAGATGTATCACACAGTGGAACAGTATTGTTTACTGGATTACTTTCCGGACACATCAAGATAACTGCACAACTTAGAGAGATGGTTTATGTAGCTTTATATAGTTTTCTCGCCTCATTTGTGATGTAGGTATGGTTTTGATATGTAGATGATACGTTTACAGTGTTGAAGTCGGAACACATACACAGTTTCTTTACACAAATAACTTCAGTAGTCAACCCAATCCAGTTCACCTATGAATTAGGAAATATTGAGGAGGAATTAGCGAAGTTGGATTACAGAATAAGACGAAAACAAGACGAGAGTGTAGACGCCAACGTCTGTTGAAAACCTTCATGCTTGAATGGTTAGGGTTAGGGACACCTTACTCGTAAATAATTACCTTCTTAAATTAGTTGATAAGTTCCTTAGGAATCGGTGAAAGAATATAACTAATATTAATAACACACGTGTTAATAGTAGTAATAACAATAGTGGCAATACTGTGAAGACAGAATTCAAAACCTGTACAGTATTACCCTACAAAGAAGGCACCTCAGAGACAATAAGAAGGATTCTCAGTAAAGCTGAGGTTAGAGTGGCATTTAAACCTACAAACTCACTTAGAAACAAGCTGTGTATGTTAAAATATCCTATTGATCCCATTAAGAAGAGTCATTTGGTTTGCCAAACAGCTTGCAACAATTGCGAGGCCAAATATATGGGTCAGAGTAGCAGACCAGGGTCAATTAGACTATCCGAGCACAAAATCCAGCCAAATTGAAATTGGTAGATAAAAAATTTAGAAAAAAGCTCGGCCATAGGTATGAGTGCAATTACACACAACCACACAATATGATGGGACACAGTGAAAATTCTAAAGATCAACATAACTGGGTGGAGTGGGAGATTGGAAACTTAGTCTTTGTTGACCGAATCAACATCTGACACATGCAATAGGAATAACCCAGAACATGTTCCAGATATATGGAAAATCTTACTACCCATATCACAAACTAGGAGAGGAAACTAGAGCTATATAAAGGATGTCTTAAAGTTTTCTTGCTGTGGCTATGGACAAGAAGTTGTGTTAGAAGACGTAATCCAGTAAACAATACTGTTTTACTGTGTGATATGGCTAATAAATCAATTAAAATGGAACTTATACTGGATGATGATTGAAGGTGAGATGAAAATCTGAACCGCATCCAGGTTCTAACCAGCGACCACCGGGTTACCCACCCGATACCCTCCCAACTGAGCTACAAGGTCCGACTGCAGATCCACTGGTCGCTGGTTTGAATCCGGCCGTGGTCCCGATTTTCATTCCACCTTCAATTATCGCCCAGTATAAATATTAGTCTGGCAAACTACGGTTATCTCAGATAGTCAGATGATAACCAATATGATGCTACCCCTCTCTGATTTAGTTAGATTTGGGTTGGGATGGGAAATCCTGACTGGGCAGCCAGTGTGAACATGATGAAGCGGTATTAACGCGTCATAAATTCACATGGTAGTCGGACAAAACCTTTGGTGATCGAAGTGATCGATCTGGTTCGAATCCGGCAGTGATTCAGATTTTCATCTCACCTTCAATGATCACTCGGTATAAATACTAGTCTCCCACACTACAGCTATCTCAGATAGTCAAATGATAAAATGGAATTACATTGTACATGAGTACTCATGCTTTACTTTAATATTAGTGAAAAATATTAATTATTATGAGAAAGAGTTAGATACGCATAAGGAATAAAACGATTAATGATATTAACAAAAAGGAAGCGTTCAAGCGGTTGACACTTCCATCATCTCGTGACATTACTAATTACTTCAGTGCATTAGCCATTCACTAGTGTTGATCTTTTTAACCATAGTTCGAATGACATATTTATATGGAAAAGAGTACATGAAATTAACCCATTTAATTATAGTCTGACCTGTTCTTTGATAAATAAACAATCAACAGCTAAATTAATCATCATTAAAATCATGAACTATAAAGCTTAATCATCAATTAGACACTTATTTTCTAGAAAAAAAATATATACATGTAAACTAAACTATTATTCTGGTGAATTGTTTACTTGCTTACTATATTATCAAGTTATAGCAAATTCTACGCTAAAATACAAACTAATAAATAATATTCCTAAGTTTTTTTTTCTCTCACTTACTTGCTTTTCCAATGGATATTGCTTTAATTCTTCAATCCATTCTTGTTCATTTTTATCAAAATGATAAATTGATATACTTATCAATCATAATGTATAGTTAAGTTCCATTTGATGACAGAATTGAATTAATCATTTGAAGAAAAAGATTATAAAAGCTTATTTAAAAAAAAAATTATATAAAGTTAACCAAAAAAAAAGGTAATGAATAGTAGGCTAGCAGTGGTATTCAGGATGCAAGTTTCATTCTATTTGGGACACATCAGCTGGATATATCCGCCTCTCAGTGAGCTATGTTGTTCCCACTAGTACTCGAAACCAAGACAAATCTCTTCAAACGCCAAAACGTTATTCAGTAAGCAAGTTGATATAGTTCGTGATAAATAAACCATGTTAAGATATTATAGCTTCCATTCACTTGAAGTTAATTGTACTGAATTGATGGGTCATTATTGGTATATGGGCTACTATTCAGGCGCCTCGATAGGCGTCACACACACATAAATTATCATATTTTCTGTAGGTGTTATTGTCGGCTTTTCAGTGGTAACAGTAACATTGTGGGGTACTACTCGTCATATGGCTCATTAGGGGGAACACTATCTTTCTCTGGACTTTCATTATCGAAAGTAACTTTCTGGAATCAATTTAAGGGTTGCTTACATCATAGATGCCAGAAAGTTACCTTTCCAATCTCTAGTCTTGTCAAATTTATTCCAGCATGATTTATTCGTAAGATTATTCACAAAGAACTATTCAAATTTCTGTATCTTCTATAATCATACATAACAAGATTTATTTACAATTCACAAACTCTAGTTGAGGAATCGCAGTCTTTGAAGTACGCGTTTTATCATAAGAGTTATGTTTGTTGCCAGACACTGGGAGTAAATTAATAGACGCTTAAATAACTACGTTTTATCTGTATATTGACAATCAGAAATGTTTAAATACGAAATAAAGGACAATAAAACTGTATCGAAGAGACTAATGTATGTCATTCAAACAACTACTGATCCCGTACATGACTAAATTCCCTCTGCACTATTGTATTACTTAGCTCATCGCAATGATTAAATATCAGGCATTTCACGGAGATTGTTAACCTTGATACATTACAGAAGACTAATGTGGAATATGGGACTGTGAATAACTCATGAAGTTAACTCGACTTCTCATTTCGTTGGATACATTTTCGGTTCTCATATTCATGCCTACCTCTTGAATTAGATTCAGTATAGAGGTATACCGTCAGTAGATCAATAATATCTATCCTTCAAAAACTGGATATCCCCAATAAGAAACTCAACAGATAACATTGACGTCTTGCTCGACAGATTTTGAGATACAGTTCGAATGTAACTGTAACGCTGGTCATGATAAAATACTATCCTACTATGAAGTTAACCTAACATTCAAACATCTTTGCAAACTTGAATGATATCTCATATAAAACTAAGTGCGGTTATGATAATTTTTGACATCAATCCAGTTATCTTTGAAAAACCATTGATTACGTGTTAAATATCAATCGTATTATAATTAAAGTACACTTAATTACCTGTCATAGTTGATGAATTTTTTCAGACTATCAGCAACATTTTCATACAAATTTGATTCACCATCAATTTGACTAAAATATGTCATTTCTTTGCGAAGATTCTGTTAAAATATGAACGTTTTTATATGATAAATGGATATATAGATAAATTCTTTTATAGGTGATATGTATATGATAGAAAACTTGAAAACTACAGAAGTGGAAAATAAGAATGAATATTTCAGTACTTTGACTTTTGATATTTGTTTTCGACTAAGTATATATTACTGTTACATTGACTGATTACTAGACTGTAACCAACTTCATGTTGTCTAGTCCTAATTAATGATCGAATTCAACTGATCATTTTGCAATGCGGCTATCAGGCTAGGAGGCTCAGCATCGCTATCCACTTTCTTCGTCGTGGCCCGAACAGATCAGTAGTAACATCTCTGACTGCAGCACTGGATGATATGGGTTCGAATCTCAAGCAGGACAGGAATTCTATAGAGGTTGCAGATAAGCCTTCCTGATGAGTGCCGAAAAGCAAGAAACCTAGGTCCACGACCTTCTGTCGTTTCCTTCCATCCAGCTAATATGTATTATTGTTGTTTGATAATGGATTGCTACTTTTCTATCATCTATTCTGAACCTAGATAGTAGGTACTATGATACAGCCTGTCAGAAAGCCTATGGTCTTCAACCTAACAAATAACCGTCTATGAGTTTATTCAGTAATCTTGGTGTGTATAGAAGTAACTGAATTGTCTAACCAATAATGTAAAACCCTAGGTTAATTCCTTGTTGACTTTCATGTTGTTGTCAAGTGATTTTCTTGAATAATATTTATAGAGCGGTTGATCATGATACTTAAGGGAAGAGATTAATGGTGGAACTCATGAATATGAGTTTCACTTCCTATCATTAGCTTCAGCTGTTCATACCTACCTCTTAAGTATTATAAACTTGGCCAATGACTTGCGATACCTAGTATTCACAATTACCAAAATCAGAGTAAGTCTGATGGTTGAGCATTTACAAAAGGATTGTTCAGTTTCGTTCAGTCAAACTACTAACTAGAAACTGTGATTTTTTAGGAATACAGCATCCCAGGAATACGACAGAAGTGGAAAAAACAAAGCATAAGCAGTTGTAGACATGAATTATGCATCAGAATAAACAACTGTTTGTTAATTGGTCCAAGACAATCGTCAGAAAGCCCAGCCTGATCTCGGTTTCCTGCTTGTTGGTACTCGTCAGCAAGGCGTATCCGCAACCGTGAGCGAAATGATGTCTCCTGTGGAGTTCCAGCACACGTTAACCATTGCTGTGTTCAGCGACATTACCACTGAGCTATTTAGGCCACTGTTAGACTCCTGTAGGGCTGGAATACATCAAGTAATTGGTCAATGGAGAGCAATCAATTTCAACACTACAGGGAACCTCCAAGCTTTGCGTCCACTTTGCGAAGGGATCGATAGGATTCGGTTATTATTATCATTATTTGTCCTTTGGGTTCCTACTGGAACATAGGGTTTCAGTAGCACGTCTCCATTCCACTCCGTTCTCTGCAGTCTTTTGAACCTGGCTCCACGAGAGCCCAGATGCTCTCATTTCCTCCTCACACGATCTCCTCTATGTCAACCTTGCCTCTGACTCCCAACTAGTAGTTTCCCATCGGGGTTCCACTCGAGGTCTGGCCTGGCGCGTGATGTCCCCGAATGGTCGTCTTAGTGCATGAAATTCGGTTATTAGTGAAAACTAAACAAGATAAAACTGGTTGTTGTCAGCTGAGCTACCAAAAAAATGGCAACTGTTTGTAAGGGATTGAATAACTTAGATGGAGTTCATTTCTTGCACCATGGATTCTTTGGAAAGAGCTCCCTTAGATGAATAATTTTGCCTACATATCGTTATTGTAGTGTTTTGAAGAAAAGGCGAGGTACTCAATACTAAGTTTCTCATTAGTGCAGAGTTCCATGAAAACCAAGCACTTTGTTTTCAGCAAATCCTGTGGTCTACCGCCTGTAAACTTTGACCATAAACCACAAAACATTCACATGCATTACTAAAACATGTGCTATGGAAAACGTAATTAACTACCTGTCAAAAGTACTAAACATTTGTTTCTCCAATTGCCAGTAGAAATCATACCAGTAAAATCTATGTTTCATTTGTTTTCATCATTTTCTCTCATTTTCGCGTACAGATTTTCGTTTATTGCTTAGCAACATCTGACATAAAACCTTCGATCCTTGAGTAAGGAAGTTTTGTTGATTAAAGGACGTCTAAGTGAATAGACATTTCTAGCTAGTCTCTGTTTATTTAACCTTAAAATGTATTTATTCGCAAAGCAGTTATGTCAGGTATCATATAATCGACAAAATTTTACTACTTCAAATACGAGTCTAAAGGAGTATTTTACTTCTCGGAAAATGTTATTTACAAGGGTCCTAACAGCATTTTCTAATGTTGTTGCTTGTATTATCTTGCCGTTGTTTGGACCGAATTGATTTGTCTCTATTGGCATATCAGCTCTTGTGCGGATTTTGCGATATTACCTGGCGTTCCAGCCTGATAGAAACGATGGTTAGTGGCTAACAGTGGAATCTAGGACGCACGTTCCACTCCACCTGTGACTCTTCAGCTGGATCTACCTGCCTCCTAGTGAATGATTTCGTTCCCACTAAGACTTGAATCCAGGACCGAACGCTTCAAAGACCAGAGCTTTACCCACTAGGCCAACGAGTCACGATACTCATTTCTTATGCGATTGGCACAGTCTTTATGATGTTGCTTGTATTGAAATAAGGATTCTGAATTCCGCTGCTAGCTACTATTTATCATTAGCATATTCTTCTGTCAGTATTTATCCACCAGTGGTTGGGTTATTTACTGATGTGTGAAATATACTGATCAGGATATGAAAGAAGAACAAGTATTCAGTGAAGAGTCTCTTATCGGCGATTTCGTTTTCACTCCTGTGCAATTTATCAAGCATAACAACACAAATGGTTTCAATAAATGAGTTGTCATTACAATCAAACACTATGATGAGTAGTGAATATTAATCAAAATAAATTTGAACAAGAAGTTTGGAAACTGAATTGTGATCAGGTAGAACATAGCAACAAGAATGAGTAGCAAATTTCTTAAGCAGTGAATAGTGTCGGAACAGAAAGATGAGAAGAAAAAAAGAAGGGGGAGGGGAGTAGACGAGACTGAAAACTAAGACCATGAAAGAAGAAAGCATTGAACAAACTTCTTTTGCGTAGACAGTTTGGGTTTCTCCATATGGATGACAAGAGCTTCGACGATGCAGAGAATACAAACACATACAGCCTTTGGAGGAGGGCCCACGTGGTTACAAATAGACCGATAAGGAGTGATATAATTGAGCACATCGTAAACAAAAATCACCCTATCTCAAAAACCTTGTTGTTTAAAGTCTATAAGGTGGAAATAAACCTCCCAAAGGCTGTATGTCTTCGTATTCTCCGCATCGCCATATGGCGAAACCTGAACTGTGTAGACAAAAGAAGATTGTTCTACCTCTCCTCCTTTCATGGTTTTAGTTTTCAGTCCTTGAAATCTGCTATACCCCCCCTCCCTCTCCTTTGATTTTTCTGTTTTGATACTGATTTGCTACTTATTCTTGTTGTTATGTTCTGCCTGATCACAATACAGTTTACAATTATGTCTTCATGTCACGAAAATTCACTGCTCATCAAATTTTGATTTTTGATTTCAATGACAGCTCATCTATTGAGACTAGTTGTGTTGTTATGCTTGATAAACTGTTTTTAACTAACAAATTCTTACACTAGAAAAATGTATAAATTTGCTATTGTAGAGGTTTGAAAATGAAATCAACGGAAAGAGTCTTCGCTGAAATACTTATTTCATATTTACTCATAATCAATGTGATCTATGAGTTCAATAGATTTAAGACTGTTATGAAATGAAAACGAATGACATTAGCAGAGAGTCACACCACACCACAAGATGATTGAACTTACCAGTTGTGAACCACTTAGTCCTAGACGGTAACGTGTTTGTCTTTAGATGAGAATATCCGAAGCATGATATCTTAAAGAGTTTTCTATGTATGCCCTCATGAAAAGTACCACAGTAAGTGAAGATTATTATCCATTACTTCATAGTTTGTAAAAGTTTTCTGTCTGATGTCAGTTCATGGTGAAAAATATAGCATAATCAATTTCTTTTTATAATATTATCAAATGATGAAATGTTAACTCACCTGATTGAGTATATTCCAATCAAATAAATATCTTAGTCTACAGGCTTCAGATAGTTCTTGTCTGTACAAAGTTAAAAGATTATTGACTTGCGAATATTCATTTCTTGAACTATGAATAATAACAGATAAATAAAATCATTTCAGGTATAGTTTTCGCCAAAAAAAGTACAGAAAGTAAGTATAATTTTATTTTATTCCAATAAACTTTTGACTGAAACAGAAGCAACTTCTAGAGGACGATACTTTGAACTGTACCGCAACATAAGTTTTACGTCCGTTTTCAGTCATGAATTATTTGTATTGTGATAAGTTTATGAGGCTAAAGCTATATCAGATATTTAATTTTCAGGGGTTTCCCGGTCTACGATGAAAAAACAACTTGAAATATCTCTAAATTCCTACAAATCCCTCAAAATTTAACTGAACTGGTACTCACTGGTGACAAGCTTCGAGAGGTGATTCACGAAGTTCCAGTGAGAAGTCGTGACCAGTGGGGTAAACCTGATGGTAGTGAGGACAAATATTCAACGATGATATTTGGTGGCGGTTGCGCTATGTCGTGAAGTGACAGAAGTTGGGTTCCGACCCAGTGGCTCAATGGTAACGTGCTGGCCATGGAACCTGAAGGTCACGCGTTCGACCCATGGCGGGGTCTTGGGTGCGCACTTCTGAAGAGTCCCATACCAGGACGAAACAGCTGTCCAGTGCTCCCAGATTTCCACTATTCATCCAACTGATGTCAGTATGCTAAGAATGCCAACTTGATACACCAGATATTCTCATCATTAGTTTCATTTTATCTGTAGTATTCAGGGACTATTCACCTCTTCTTTAAGAAATAGAGATAAATGACGTTGCTGTCAAATAATCACATTTTCCTTTTTCTCATCATGTAAGAGGACGTATATGAATTGATAGAATGCAAGAAATGACAGCGAAAATTCGTTGCAAATATACAAAATATTCAATTTTTCTGCTCATTGGAAAGTATCTTACAACATTTATGTAGCTAATCTATTACGAATTCACCGCAATCGCTTCTCTAATCACCGGTTTGCAGTAGAGTGGTATTACACTCAAGAGGTATCTGGTTGAGATATTTTAAAAAGATATTTATAAGATAGTACATGCGATAGTTGCATTCAGCAAATTAATCTTTAGTAGAAGGGAAAATTCTTCGATGTACCATAAACCTTTATCAAACTCATTCAACAGCAGCTATATGCTATATGATGCTACATGTCAAATGACTAACTATGGAAAACTACTCAGTGATGCCTTTGAAGTGAAGATTAGGGTAAGACAAGGTTACCGCCTATCACCACTGATGATCTGCCTGATTGTTGTCAACTGGACTAGGTCAGGCAGCAAACCGTGAGGAGCGAGAAGAGGGGCATATGCTATTTGACCGAGGAGAAGAGCCCAGAATGAGATTTGGATTTCCCAGATGGTGATTTCTGTTTAATGTTGCAGAAACTAGAAGATCTACAGGCGAAGACTGACAAGCTGACAGAAGAGACGAGGCAGCGAAGGAAGATCGGACTTCCTTCAAGTGAACGTAGAGAAAACGGAGGTGATGAAGATACCCAACCACCACCACCAACGACAAGCACGAATCACCATGAATGTGAGAAGCTTAAAGGAAGTAGTCTCTTTCACCTACCCAGGTAATGCTGCATCGTTTCAACTACAGATGGCACAGACGAGGATGCCACAACCAGGACCGGAAAGGCAAGACAGGCCTTCATTATTCTGAAATCGGTGTGGAGATCTACTGCACTCAGCATAAAGAAAGTGATCCGGATTTTCAACACCAATGTCAAGTCAGTGCTTCTGTGTGGTTCAGAAACTTGGTGTGTCACGGAAAGCACCTCTAATAAACTACAGAAACTCATCAACGGCTGCCTATGCTGGCTCGATACTGAAGATCAGGTGGCCAGAAAGAATAAGCAACAAGGAACTCTGGGAACGAACAATCAGGAAGCTATCACTCAACAAATATTCAGAAGGAAATAGAGATGGATTGGATTGGACATACACTGAGTAGGCCAGCTGAGGACATCACGCGTCAGGCAAGATCATGACGTTGAGTGGAACCCAAATGGGAAACGACGAGTTGGGCGTCCGAAGAGAGGGTGACATGGAGGAGATCATGTGGGGAAGAGATGAAAGCTTGTAGACAGTGGTGTAGCCAGGTTATATAGACTGGCTTAATATCTTGCTTGCTTGGTGTGAACAACAGCATGATTCCGCGCCAGTCCTTTCAAAGGCTTAAGTCTTCCTTCTTTGGAATTTTGACAAGGTAGCCCTCCTTCAAACCAATGGGAAGGTACCTTTCCTCCCTTCCTTGTAAACCTTCTGCAGTATTGGTGTGATGTGAGCATGTCTACTATTGTCTCTGAGTGTGTTTTCAGTGCTTCAGGAGGAATTTCAACTGGTCCTGCTGCTTTCCGGAATTTCAGAGACTTTACAGCGTTCAGGACTATACTCCTGCTTTCGTCAGAGAGCCTGTGTTCACTGGTAGTTCTGTGGCTAGGTTGCTGATGGTATTTCCAGACGTGTTGTAAGTGGTGATAGATTCAACAAATTTTGAAGTGGTCAGCTCATTGTTTCCTTTGCTTCCCCTTTTGGTGCTATTTATGTTTCCTTCACTGTCTCTCATTGGTTTCATCTGAGTTGATCTCCCCCCTCCCAGATAGACAGTAACATGGTTATTTGATATAATGTTGTCAGGTGTCTGTCTCTCCTACCAGCCTCCAACCTGTTTTGCTTCACTGTCAAGTGTGTCTCATAAGTGTGTTTTGTCTTTGGGCGCGCTCTGCTTCACTTCTTTGTTCAGTGTAGTGTTTTATGGGTTGTGCTCAGTTCCTCTTTTTGTTGTTCATCTTTGCACTGCAGTGCACTGCAGTTCAGTGCAGTGGTTCATCTTGCTTATCACCATCGTCCTCTCTCTTCTCCACCAGCTTCCATGTGTCCGTCGAGATCCATTCATTGTCCGGTCTCCCCTCTTCTTCCCTCCTAATACGGTTATGCAGGTTTTCTTCCACATTGCTGTCACTGTGTTTCAGTGTTATTCCATGCAGTTCCCTTCAGGGATGTTTCTCAATGTCTCCCATTTCGTCCTGATGGCTGACTGACGTGAAAATACATTTTGTAGTTTCGTGCCTCAGTTCAGTTTCTGTTCCGGTTGTTCAACTTCAACTGTTGTCTATCATCACCAACTTCTGTGAATGCTTTCAACTTGATTGATTTTGAAAGTAGGTTCTTTGCACTAGATAGTGAGTGGTGTGAGACTACATCTACTCTCCTTTTTATCTGACCCTGTGTCCACTTGGCTGACTGAGTCTCCACTCTCTTCACATTGAGATGAAGTCGATCTGATTTTTGATAGGTACATCTGGTGAAAGGTGCAACAGAATCCATTTCGCTCTGTGAATATGCTTGTGTTTGTACACACTGCCACGCTTCCTATCACCAAATCGTTGAATACACAGAAGTCTGCAAACAGTTCTCTATTCTCATTCATCATTTCACTGAGTGCCTCTCGGCCCGTGATGAGTTGTGTTCCTGTGTTTTTTGCTCCCAGTTTGGCATTCATGTCACCCATTAGAATTTTGATGTCGCCATGTGGGGTGAGTTCTTGTCCAGTGTTGATTGCAGTTGTCTGTAGAATTCCTCCTTCTTCTCTTGAGTCGCATTATTTGTAGGTGCATAGCGTTACATTTTATGATTGTAAGTTTCCTTCTTTTTGAGTTGAATTCATCTTGCTGTGATGATACTGATCCTGGAGGAGGAGATTGGTTCCGATTGCATGAGAGCCTTCAAAGCTCTTGAGGACGATCCAGTTGACACTTTGCAGAGTCCACTTCCTTACCATCTGCAGACTCCTCGCAGACTCCAGGCACTTCCATCTCATACCTTTTCATCTCGTTTGCAATCTGGGCAGACTTGATAGGTTCAAACATGGTGCAGACATTCTATATCCCCATGCTTACTTTCGCTCTCATCGAGAGAAGACACATCAGCCAATTGGCTTCCCGAAAGCTTTCACCAACCAGCATAATTTCGTCTCCTGATTCCAGAAAGGAATAAGTTTGTTTCTACTTTTTATAATTTTTTTGTGCTTTGAAGTTTCTTTAGCGACTGGATTGGTTTTCCGGGTTAGGGTTGCTAGCCGTATACCCAACCTTCCCTCTTTATCCGGGCTTAGGACCAGCTAGTAACTAGTGAATTAGATAACCAGGAGAGATAACTATTAAAACCCCTTTTTTTAAAAAGGACAACACTGAGGATGTAGACACCAGGAAGAGATGAGAATGAATTTGAACGATGGTGCTTATCTGCCCTACAGATAGATGCAACCCCTGCTCAATAGAGAAAAAATGTTGATGATAGATTACTACGACTAAGATCCATTGATATTTGAAAGGTTCCGAAATTTATAGCGTAATTTTAAGTTTCTGTTCAATTCTACGCAGTAGACTTTTGTTATTCAACAATAATTATATGAGTAACTTCGTCAAACAAGACTTCTAGAGCAAAGGATTCACGTACTGAACTTGCAACTTTTGGTTTGCATGTTCCGACTCTGCTTCCCATATGAAGTTTTGGCCAGCGAAACGGCATCATCAACCTTGTCAGAATACACCTGTACTAATGTGTATTCAGTTGCTCAGACGCATTTTGCTTTTATCATTTAAAACCAGATTTTCAGGTTTAACTTTTATGAACTGACAGCATACACAGAGTTTATATCATTAGTATGATAACAAGGAATAGAGGATTACTAAACACCCATTCCAATGTGTTAGCTTCGGATTCCTAAGCAGTTTTCTATACATATTCTCTTATCAATGTAGTGTCTACATGATAATCTAATAGGTTTATCAAGCAATTGTTCCATTTTCACGTCAATTGTCATAGTTAAGCTTTATCGTTGAGACCTAATTCCATGCTAGAAGGAAGCTATGACTTGCACAAACAGCTGAAAGGCAAGCATCTTCTATACATTAACTTCAAAACAGTGGACTACTCTTGATTATATACACTCCTCAACATTGGTGGGGCTGTGGCTCATTGTATTAGTGAGATGACTTTCAACCAGTAGGTTACGGGTTCGAGCTCCTCTCTGACTACTGAGGTTTGAACAACCCAGTAGTATCATTAACCCTCACATAGTTGGATAAGGCTCATTGTCTGTTGTAAAGATGTCCACAAGGTAGCTGAGTACTTTTCTTTCATTCTCTTCAACACTGAACAAAACAGTTGTGTGACACTTCTTGATACATAATGATTCTTTGACTGATGAAAAAATTCTCTCGAAGATATCATAAATTCAAGCATTTCACAGCCATAAATTATAGAAGTCCCTAAAATATTAATCTTTAGTACAAGCATAAAGTTGTAAGGCATCTAGTTTTTGTCTTTAACCAATTTTAAGAAAACCGAAAATACTGCAATAAATCAAGTCATACAAAAAAAAATTATATGGAATGTTCTACGCTTACTGTCTGCGTTTCTATACTAGCATACAAATGTTACAGTAAAACTGTGTATACCTTTTAATACAGAAAAGTAAGCTGGAAGATAAGTGAAATACATGCAAAAAAAACTCTTTTCCTAGTAATTTATCCATTTTGCTAATAATTGTTATTATTATTATGATTATGATTGATGCTAGAGTGGCTGTTTAAAACACATGTTCAATATTCAATATGTTTCTGTATGCTTATCAAGATACCATGGCGAAATAGAGATGTAAATTTAACACATAGTTTAATGCTACCTATGAAAAAGAAAGGAAAAGAATATATTTAAAAATGGTTCGACTAGTTGAAACCAACAAGGTTATTTACTTTCGTAAACCCTTACAGCATCTGAACGATAATATCACATCCCATTCCATCAACCAATTCGAATGTACATGTACATAAGAAGGACTCATGGATCTATACAAGTAAAGACGTGGGAGTAGAGCAATTTCAAAAGCGAGTCAAATTACCTTAACCTATAAACGTTAGTAGCAGACGCTTAAGTTCTTCGAGTGTGAAAGAAATCATTGAAACAAATCATAGAATTGATGTGGCTACTTCCTTCCAACCTATTTACAAAACATGCTGGGAATGGATCCTTAAATTTACTGAAGCCATAGCTATTAGGAATTTTGAGTCACCTTTTTGTATTCAAAAACAATATGTTATCCCATTAAACCTCCTTTGGTGAATTCAACTCTGAAACCAGTTTCTCTCTGTTAATTTTCATTGTTATTTTGACATTTAAGCTAACCTTCTCATTTAACATGTTGTCATATTCTCACCCCTTATCTCTAAAAATTCTTATATGAACACCTATGACGGCTGCTTGCTGAAACCTTTGGCCACCAAATCTATCCATCGAACATTTCTCATCAAATTCCTTCCTTTCAATTTGTTTTAATCCCTCAGTTATATCCTTTCAACGTGTTATCTACTCTTCCACATTTTTAAACTGTTTCCAACTCTCCATTTCTCGAGTCAATAACAAAGCAGAGAAAAAATGTTACGTTATATGGAAATGGACTTTTCAGTGCACAAAAGTACGCCATATTTCTATCCATCAGATGCTTAGCTTGATCTGCAGATTTTGTACCGTCTGAATGAATCACCATCACCAAAATTATGCTTGGATTTCTGTTAATTCTTCATTATGAACCGAATACTCATCTAGAACCAACTGATTATTTCACATTATTGCCTTGAATACTGTTATTATTAAAATCATTCAGATGCAATAATCATTTCCTCTGAAAGTATTATTCTGAGAGTGCATTTGTCGAAAAATTACATGCTGAAAATTCCATACTGTCATGCATATTATTTGGAATAAACTGATTATTACTATCACTATTAAAGAAGTATATGTTGCGCAAATACATTACACAATTCAGACTATTTTTAAAGGACTTTAAGAGAATGATGAGACAATAATAATGATTATAATAGCAATGTACTGTCTATTCGCTTAAGGACCGGATAAAACAGTGACTGAAATTAAGATGTGATTAGCAGATGGGTTCTTGTAAGTTAGTGAACAGATTGTTGAACCTGTTTTCTATTGGTCAATTAAGTGTACCATTATTCATTTTATGACTACTTTATATATTTAGTAATGATGGGCAGTGGCTAGCAGTGGAATCTAGGATGCGCATCATTACTAAACATAGTTAAAAGACAGGCAATATCGAGGCATTCACATAGGAGCCCATGTGCCAAAAGAGACTGATCAATTCGGTCCAATCAACGACTGTGTAATACAAGCAATAACACTAAACCTATACCCGTCACACAAGAAGTGGATATCGTGGCTCGGTGGTGTAGTGGGTAACGCTCTGGCGTTTGAAGCGATCGCCTTTGAGTCCGCGTTCCGGTGGGAACAACATCACTCACTGGGAGGCAGGTACATCCAGCTGACGAGTCCCAAATAGGACGAAATGCGCTTCCTGGATTCCACTGCTAGCTACTATCCATCATTACTAAATATAGTTAAAAGACAGGCAATATCGAGGCATCCTCATAGGAGCCCATATGCCAAAAGAGACTGATCAATTCGGTCCAATCAACGACTGTGTAATACAAGCAATAACACTATACTTTATATATTTTTAAAGATAGTATTCATCATAAACTGATATCATTTGAAGAAACATTGAAAACTTAAAAGCCTTGAACAACTGTTTCGTCTTAACATGCGACTACTCAGCAATACACACTATCAGTATACTACCAGGTAAATTTTTTAAACTTAAATTCTATTTACTTATTTAACCCTTATATTTCATGAAATATTAAGATCCAATGATATTGTGTTGAATAGAGTATACAGGATGAAATACAACAGATTTTGAAAAATATAATATAGAGTACTCACTTCATCAGGCAATCATTTACACTATTTGAACTTTCATTTGTACAAATCGACCATAAATAAGCAACTAAATAAAAATTTATGTTCAAATTATTGGATGTATTTATCATAAGATGAGAATTAGTATCCTGTACATGATAATTATAAGGTAAACAACCTAAATTCATTAGGAAACATGATTTCTTTGAACTTGATTTGTATAAGTTCCATCTTTTTTCATTGAAAAGATTTTGAAGGATATTTGTCAAGGTCATCTGAAATGAAATAATAGGAAGAAGTTATTATATCGTCAAGAAACTTAACATAATTATCATCTAAAATAATAAATTAAACCAGAGGTTATGAATACATTTGTTTTCACCTTTTATACACAACAAAACAAAGATACTGTCTACTTGAGAATTTTTTTTAAGGTTAATAATACTGTGAATGATATAGTGTAGAATATTTGTAGCTCAGGTGGATGGTCTTGGTTGTATTGTGTTCTCTGAGCTGAGTTGTTTAATCGCAAAGCTTTCATCGTCAGAGGGTCAGAGGTCAAGCAGTGGGACAGTCAATGACACAACAATCAAAGGAAATAACCAATCACAGACCAGTTCGTTAAGGCAAGCTACCAAATCATTCACGGGGAGATACTGACAGTTCACTTCATACTGAAGTTAGTGCTGATGACGTCGTCTAGAATGACGATGAAAGCTTCACGATTAAACAACCCAGCTCAGAGAACACAATACAACCAAGACTGTGAATGATAACAATTTAAGTGGATTTTGCTGAGCTGTCATTTGTGCTGTCAATAAGACATCTGAAAACTCTTCAAAGATGCAGTACTCAAATTAATAATACACTTCCTTTCACTTTATGAACTAATTGTATCACGTAGATAAAATGAATATTCTATAGATATTTTCTGCATAGGGCTCAAAGAGCATAGACAATGAGTGATGTAACAAATGCATGTGGAGTACCAATGTTACATAGAAACTTTAAGACAAGGTAGGTAATTTAGTTGATTCACAGAAAGTAAGTTCACACCATCTAAGGAGAATGTTGAATTAGACGATTGAGGCGATGTAATCTATTGACTGGAGGCAGTCAGTATATGAAGAAACTTAAAAATCATCTCAATAATGTCTAGTCATACTGGCATTCAACATTTCTTCACCTTCAACAGTTTTTTATTTAATTTCAAACTACATTTACATCTTGTTGCTCAAGTTCAAACAGTCATTGTTCTTTTTGAATAGACCAACTTGAACCGATGTATTATAACATCAGTCAGCCATTCAAATTGTTTGATAAAAAAAACTCAAATTATAGCTTGTTATTTATTATAGAAATCAGTGTTTTTAGGATATAATCATTTCCAAAGATATGCTAGTGTTCGATGCTTTACTGGGATAACATTCACCGAGATAACCAGTCAATCGATAACAAAATGAGATCTGGTGTAACTGCGCAACAACCTAAGTTGCAACACATCATAACAGCAGATCAAGTGAGAATCCAATGAGAAGAAAGACAGAGAAAAAAGAAAGAAAGAAAGTAGTCAGAAGTCGTAGAAAGACATTAAAAGAGAATAAGGAGGAATGAGATAATGGTGAAATTTGGCTTGTAATCAAGATTACGATTATCCACGGATACATCTGCATCAGTGACACCGTTTCTGAGCTACACCGAATTGAGTCACTAACCATCGACTTCGGTTGTTATGAGAACCCCAAACGGGAACCAACAGTCAAAGACTTCATAAAATCATGCTATATCTTATTCTAGCCACCCCAAGCCCTTTTCCAGCCTAAACCAACTTCAGTTGACAATGTGTGTCGAGGCAGACGATAACTAGGCCTGCACAACACATGTCTCAGCCATCTCCGTCAATGAAGGTTAACAAATGCATCAAGTGAAGTGCTTCTTCTACCTAAAACTCCACTCCTGATGCCTACATCACTAACTTAGTGGCAACACGACACACAACCTATGCTTAGAAAGCAATGGTGGTAAAGCACACGAAGCCTTTTCAAGTCCTCTCTCTTTAATAACCATTTTTCACAGTCATACAGTAGAACAAAGTGAAATGCTGCACAGTGCACTCGACTCTTAACAAGCCATCAGGCATTTACAGTAGTGCTGATTACGTTCAACATGCTGTAGATAAATAAACAGAAGTACACTGTAAACGATAAGAAAGTAGTTGAACTGTGGTTTGAACTGATTTCTAATCACCTTTCAATAAAAATAAAAGAATCTTATGTTGTACAAAGTCTCAAGTTATTATTCATCGTAGACTGACATCATTTGGGAGAACAAAGGAAACCTGAGAGCACTGGACAGCTGTTTCGTCCTAGTATGGGACTCCTCCGCAGTGCGCACCCACGACCCCGCCCCACTAGGGATCGAACCCGCGACCTTAAGGTCCCACGACCAGCACGTTACCATTGAGCCACTGGGACAGAATCCAATCGTCCATATTTCCAATCCCAGCTGGCCTACTGTTAGCTCAGTGGTAACGCGCTGGCCATAGGACCCGAGGGTCGCGGGTTCGACCCCCGGAGGTGTGGAGTAGTGAGTTCACACTGCTGAGTGTCATACTGGGATGAGACAGCTGTCCGGTGCTCTCGGGTTTCCTTTGTTCTTCCAACTGATGTCAGTCTATGATAAATAACAACTTGAAATATTTCCAAATCTCCTCAAAATTTGTACAAAGTGACAGTTTGTAATTGACACTTTAAGATGTAGTTATTCCTACTTTTTTATCAATACGTATTAAGTTTAAAGGTTGTAAATATTCAGGCCATACTTGTTACGAACAACCGGAAAGCAATTGAGCGTCAAGCCAGGTCTGATTATTATATAAGAAAGTTTTAATATTATCCCAGAGTGTTTAGAATTTCAAAACAGGAAAATCTTGACTTTCGACCTAGTTTGCATTTATGTAAGTCTCAGCATGTTTGAAATGAAATAATTCCAACGTTCTACATGAAAGATCGGTTCGGGCTTCTTCAGGAGAAAATCTTGTTCTAATTTTCTAAACACGGAGATATATTAAAACCTATTTATATAATAATTATAGAGATGTTCACTTCTATGCGCTCAGCTATAAAATCAACAATAAAAGTTCAACAAAATTTTATATACTATCACTATACCATATAACTAATATACTCACCTCTTCTATTTCGTATATAGCAGAATTTTCACAAGAAGTCAAATGCGTTTCGAAAATTGATTTCTGAATCTAGTTAAGAGAACAACAATATCAACATGATTTTCTATTATATTAGTTTGCCTACTTGTTAGTAGGCTAGATTATCTTTTTACATTTTATTTATTAAGAAAAAAGAAAATTTGCTAAAAAGCCTTTTTGACAAAATCATTTACTCAAGCGGGATTACATCCATCACAAACATTTACCAATCTTTTATTCAAAAATCGGGTAGATTCTCACCACTAGCAGGATTAAACTTTTTTCTCACAGACGAAAAGAGTGCATGTAATTATGCATTATATGATGAAAGCAATCAGTAACGTGAGAAAACTGCTTCCAGATTGGAAGCAAATTAGTTGATTGTACCTTTAATAGCTGTAGAAAAGATTCAACAAGAAAGAAGGGTCTAATGAACCTGATAATAATGATGTTATTAATTGTCATAAAAAGTCGTGGGGGAATTAAGATCACAGTAAGACAGGAGGTTAGGCTTGAAGTATTGAATTACCCGTGTATCTGTCATGCCGAATTTGTAAGATTGACATCTTTTCGAAATATTTGCTTCTAATCTGAAGGTGTCTTGGAGGTGAGACTGTACTAAGTCTGCATGAACAGAGTTCACAAGATATTGAAGTTTCGGGCTGGTTATAGATTCGTATTCTTCCCTCGACAGTTGAGCAGGATAATTCTCATATATGCATTTGGAAGGCTCATGTTCTGTGTGGCCTATATAACTACTTTTATAGGAGCAAAGGGAATGTTAAACAAAGTTCTTCGAAAAGAAACCTGAAAAATGAGCAATATAACGGACAGATCCATCGAGTTTCGAAGAATATTATATTTATAGATGAGGATTTCTGAGCTATTCTGAGAAATTAGTTCTCCAGACCACTAAGAAGAACATTCTTTTCGGTTAAAATATAGACCATTTCCCCAAGTAGGCAAATTGCTCTTCAGTATACTAAGGATAAGCCGTCACTTTGGATCAACTGAATATGTATTAACAAGTTAGCTTGCTCCTATTAGCTAATATCAGATTAACATTATTGTTGGTAAAGAGTTTATTAAATTATGGACGTTCACTTCACTACTGTTTACGAAGCTGGACGCATTTAAAATCCACAGATTTCTTAGGCTTAGTATTTTTATGATATGCACCAGCATTATGAAAACCAATTTCATCAGATTAATGTCCAAAAAATGGCGTAGATATTGGTCTTTCCTAGAGTATTCAGGTTCTCTTTTATTCTCCATAGGAGGTTAGATATGTTGCCAATTTTTATTCACTATAAGCTTCATTGGTTGAAATCCCTACTTGAATTGAATATGTTCCAGTTTTCCCACATTTTATCTTAAAAAGAAAATAACATTTTGAGAATATTTATAACTCAGGAGTATGATTTTGATGGTTCTCTGAACTGGCTGACTTAATCGTGAGGCTTTTATTGCTATTCTGGATAACACCGTCATCACAAACTTCAGAAAACAGTTTGTGAAGACTAGAATAACTTGAAATAAACATTCATTCTAAGGGGCAGCAATCATCTGTTTGTCCATTACACGGTACCAGTTTTGTATGGCATAATCGGCTTTACTCATTCAAAAAATCTTATCACTCATAGTTTAACCCATGACTAGAGTGATAATATTCTTTCAGTTAACGGCTTTTTGCTTTGTACAAAACGAAATTCTTTTGTAGAACTGCTTCTAAGTCAGGTTTAGCGCAGTAGCGGTATCTATACATGTTGGTTATTTCAACAAGAAGCTGAGATATCAATAAAAATTCCTATTTTAATTCAAAAGCCATTTGAGTGAACCGAGAATAATTTTCTTGAAAACTTCTTCTTCAGGTCTTTTACGATATGTACATATAAATGTGGGACCTGAAGAAAAAGGTATCAAAGCAAACCTTCATCGTTCAAATAAGTTACAATACAATTTACATCTAGGCAATACCAAGGTATTCGCATGGGAGCTGACCTACCTACAGAGGTCAAACAATTGAATTCAGTATAGCAAGTATCAATTAAACAACAACTGATACTTTTTGCAAAGGTAGTAGATCCAATTGTCTCGTAATAACGGTTTGGCATTCAAAGTGATGGATACAAGGTTCGAGTCTCAGTGGGAACAACATTACTCATTGAGGTGCAGATACATCCAACTGATGTGTCCCTAATCGGAAGAAACGCACGTCTCAGATTCTCTTGTTAGCTATCAGAAAGAGTACAAGAATATTGTTTGTTCACCCAAACAGAGGTATATCTTTAAAATATACTTAGTCTCGAGGACATTATCAAAATAATCCCTGTGTAATTGTATACTGAAGAACATATAGTGTTTTGAACAGGAGCGGATGAATTTCTTTTGTTTAGTCAGTGGGAGACAAGCTGGTCCCCTAAATATTCTCCACTAGCCTTTGGTTGTAAACTCTATTAACTTATCTCTACTGTAAATATTATGGGGCTCATATCTGTAGTTTAGTAAAATTTTATGTATTCTTCATCCAGTAGACAATATTAAGTGAATATTTCAATTTTAATGCCTCATATTTGTCCATATGTATTCTGAAAGTGAAATAAATACCCTCTGCTAATTCCCGTTAAAAGTAATTGGCTTAGAGCAAAACAACAGTGATCATCGAAGATGGTTAGTTTGTGTCCTGCTGCCAAACAAATGTTCTCTAAACTCTCAACATTACTCCACTATCAATATCTTCAGAATTTTGAAAAAAGCAACTTTTCAGGGAGCATTTCTTTGATTATTTATGTGTAGAACAAACTTAGAAACTATTCTGGCGGTAAATAACTTCACTATGAAAATATTTGTTTATCTGGTGGAATGTTTGCTGATAGTTAACCTGGAAAAAGTACTGTTTTTCTGTAGAAATAAAAACTGTAACGTGTTTGCCATGGAACCTGAAGGTCATGAGTCCGACTCCTGGTGAAGGTTTATAATAATAATAATAATAATAACAACAACCGCAAAGAGGATGTAGGTGTTTGACAAGGTTTTCCATTTTGTGTAAAAAGCTAAAAGCCAGCAAGAAACACCTTCTTAAGAAACAAATGGAGTATCAGCTGTATTTACATCCATCCAAATCAACATAGAACCAGGCATTATTGCGTAACGGTTCTAGTTGCCACGCCTCATATCAGTACATGAAGTAAAAGGGCAGTTAAGTTGAAGATGAAGATAAGAAAACTCAGTCAAAGGAAACATAAAGTACTAAAAGAGAGAAATGAAGAATGAGAAAATGGTGAGATTCGGTATAGCGTTGTTAAGATGAGGATAATGTATGTATACATTTGCACCAGTGACATCGGTTCTGAGCCATATTGCCTAGAGTCTCCAACCACTGGTTCCTCTTGTCCAACAGACCTCAACCATCCAGTCTGCATCCCCCCACATGGCTCAAACTAACAGTCGAAAACTTCATACACTGGTGTTATGTTTTGGTCTAGCCGCCTTGTGTCTTTTTCCAGCCTGAACCAACTTCGGCCAACATTGTGTGAAGAGGCAATCGGTGACTAGGCATACGTAGTACGTGTCCCAACCATCTCAGTCGATGAAGGTTTCCAATCGTGTCAACTGATTTACCTCTTCTCCCTAAAACTCTACACCTGACGCCACGGAATACGGCCTACACTACGAATTCAATGATGGTCAAACATCTTAAACCTTCTCTTGTCTTCCACCTTCAATGGCCATGTTTTACAACCATACAGTAAAGCAGATCGAACTGTTGTGAAGTTGAAGACCAATCCTGGAGCAATAATTTGTATTTGGATGGTGAGAAACGCATCCTAAACATTCTCAAATTGTCACTAAAAGTATCTAGAGGACTTTGCATCACGTCGGCGTCTTCATTTAACAGGACTTTGTCATCTATATTCACAAGAAATATTCATTACAGATTAGACTATGGTACACTTTAGTCACATTGATATATATCTAACAATTTGCTAATGAGAAGTTTTCAGCTTTTGTCAATGATTATTTTGTTATTTTTGTAAGATACTAATTAGAATAAAGAGAAGGGGTATTTATTCGTTAAATTAATAATAACTCACCTGTACTGTCTGTTCACCGACAAATAGATCATTTGATGAAGCCTAGTTACAACCAAAAAAATGATATATGGAACAATTAGTGTGTGCCTATGTAATTAAGTTTCCATAGAATTTTAAAGAATCATCTAATAAAAAAAGCCATACAACCTATGTTCCCTTGACCAATTTTATCAAAACAAGATGAAAATTTTTGCGAAAAACATTAAGCTCAGATTTATGTATTCCTCGGTTACAATTCACTTTTAAACAGTCTAGAATAGATACAAAATTATTTGGGGATAAAATCCGAAATGTGCTTTTTCTATATACCTCTGAGATATGGTTGTTGAAAGTAGATGTGAATAGAGTACACTTTATCGAATACACGCATCTCAACAGAGTTCCTCATGTATGGGGCAAGTAGACAATGCCAAAGTTAAGTGGAAGTTGCTTGCAAAGAAGACAAGTCAGTAGAAAAAATTGTGGACTTTCACTAACTGGAGCGGCTTAGACATATATTGCTCATCCTGACCCACTGCCTACCTCTTCACCCAATGCTAGACAAGCTGAATTACTCTAAAAGGTTATTGATGACCATACAAAGACGTGGTACCAGTTCATGAAGTCTCTGACCATTGTATATTGACTTCAAGCGCCACAATAAGTCATCTCTTTAATTTTTTGTTGGTTAGTCGACTTCTCTGGTTACAGTGAGACTCAAAACGAAAGTCAGTTAGTGTAGGTTCGAAAAAGAAACCTACAATGATGAAGCTGCCGTAAGGCGTATCCTTCTAGAATTCATTCAAGATCGATTGCTGAAAAGAAACTAGATTATGTATCATAGAAGAGAGAATGAATTTAACAGTAAGTTTGAAGTGAAGATGCTTCGAAGGTGCCAAATAGTATATGAAATCGAAATACTTTAAAAATTTAGCTTTGAAGTGTTTCTACTAACTGAAATTCTTACCTGAAAGCATTTATTATCACTATTGAAATGAAATCACAATAAAGTCATGCACTAGTTGAAAGAAAGATAGGCAAATCGATGACTATAAACGGAGCAATAATCACTGAGAAATTCAAGCCTTATTTAAGCATCTCCTTAATAAATAAGCAACTAAATTCTGACATTTCATATTGTTCTATACAATAGGAATTGTTATTTGCACAGTGAACTTAATTCATATCCGAACACTATATTCTAAATTGTTAAAACTTCAGGTTGAATACATTCACTCTTAAGTAAGAGAAACACCATTCCAACTGGGTTGATAAATTAAACTAGTAAAACAAAACAATGATAAGTTGAACAATTCGATGCGCAAAACAACTTAGAATTACAAGGATATTAATAGATTATTATTATTAGTCCCTTGGGTTCCTAATGGAACATAGAGCTTCAGTGCGCTCTGTCCTCTGAAATCTTTTGGACCTGGCTCCACGACAGCCCACAACCTCTCATTTCCTCCTCGCACGATCTCCTCCATGTCACCCTCACCTCGGACACCCAACTCGTCGTTTCCCATCTGGGTTCCACTCGAGTGACTGGCTTGACGCGTTATGTCCCCAGTCGGCCTTCTCAGTGTATGCTTAATCCATCCTCACTTCCCTCAACTGCATATTTGTTGAGCGATAGGTTCTTGGTTGGTTCGTTGCTAGAGTTCCTTGTTGCTTATTATTTCTGGCAATCCATCTGAACTTCAGTAACGAGCCAACGTAGGCAGTTGTTGATGAATGTCTGTAGTTTATTGGAAATGTCTGTCGTAACCCGCCAAGTCTCTGAACCATCACACAGAAGCACTGACTTGACATTTGTGTTGAAAATCCGGATCTTGTCTCACATGCTGATTGTAGCAGATCTCCACACTGGTTTCAGGTCAGTGAACATCTGTCTTGCTTTTCCGACCCTGGTTGGCTTTGACATCCTCGTCTGTGCCACCGTCTGTAGTTGAAACAGTGCTGCCTAGATAGGTGAAGGAGGTTACTTCCTTTAAGTTTCTCCTGTTGATGGTGATTGGAGTTTGCTGTTGTTGTTGGAGTTGTTGGTGCGGTATCTTCATCACTTCTGTCTTCTCTATATTCACTTGAAGTCCCGTCTTCTCTGCCTCACCTCTTCTGTCAACTTGTTAGTTTTCCCCTTCAGATCTTCAAGTTTGTATGACATCAGATACAAGTCATCGTTGGCGAAATCCAGATCTTCCAGGTTCTTTTCCGCAGTTCAGCCAGCGTATTCCCCTCTTCTCACAGCTCCCCACTGTTTGCTGCATGATCCAGTCCAGTCGACCACAATCAGGAATATCATGGGGGCTAGTAGGCAACCTTGTTTCACTCCTGTCTTCACTTCACTTCAAAGTCATCACTGAGCTTCCCATTGTGAATTACTTGGCCGGCATGTGGCATCTTCATATAGTTCTTGAAATACCCGTTGTACAACAGGTGACTATCGTGCCTCAGTGGTCTAGTGGATAACGCTGTGGCGTTTGAAGCGATGGGTTCGAAAGTCTGATTCTCAATGGGAACAGCATCACTCATTTGGATATAGGTAAACCCAACTGAAAGGTCTTAAACAGGACGAAACACACATAGTGGATTCCTGTGCTAGCCACAACTAAGTAAATTATCACAACAAATATTCAGTCATTATCGAGGCACCCACATAACATCGCATGTGTCAGTATAGGTGGAACAATCCTATCCAGTAAAGAAACGCAGAATTACAAGCATATGGTAATTAAACAATAATCTTGACCTATACTCAGCTGAGGAGTACAATGAATACATCCTTTCAAAATAATCGTCCGCAAACCAGTTATGTAGTTCTTAGTTAATGAGAAATCCCTAGACAGATGTAATCAATCCAAGTAGCCATAGAAATCTTCAATTCTGAAGCGTATTCTTCTCTTAGGTCACGCAGAATTAATCAAGACTTATATATTACTTCCGAGGAAGTCATTCGAAGAAATTGCGAATTCATCTTCTTTGTAGAGGAGGGTTAGCGAGGAAGAACTCTAAACACTGCGTACAGAGAAGTTTTATCTAGTCCCGTTTTGGTACTATGGTTTTAATTCTATGAGTTTATGACTTTAGTTTAATGATTTTTATTATAACATATCTTGTTTGTAAATTAATTCGCCACTGAAGAGTAGGCAATTTCATACTGTCTAGTCCTGAGTGCTGACCGATGCGACCATAGAGCTAGGAGACTGGCCATTGTAGTCCACTTTGATAGGTTTAAATATCTTAGCTTGATGGCCACATTGAAAAATGACCAACGGAATTTGGTCAGCACTCAACACAACAGCATGGAAGTGGTTGCTGTCTAGTTACCGATCAACATGCCTATACCGGTCCCACAAAAGCTCAGTCATGATCGGAATAAGGCAACTTTAACATCTCTGACTGCAACACTGAGTAACGTGGGTTTGAATTTCAAAGGGGACATTACTCCCCTTCAGTATGCAGATGCGCCTTGCTGACGAATGCCAACAAGCACGAAACCTGGGTCCAAATCTTCTCCCCGATCACCTTCAACCAGGTAAAATCTATTCGAGTGCACCGTGATCGTGAGTCTGTTATGTTGGTGGCCGCATTCTAAAATAATCAGTTGAATTCGGTCAGCACTATTCAGTGACCAATCACTCTATCTAATTCAATCCTGTAAGAGGTCGGTCAAAGTCCAAATAGTTCAGTAGTAATATCCCTGGCCATAGAACTCGATGAAGCCGGCTGCAAACTCTTAAGAGCTATCACTTTCCTTCAGATTACAGACATGTCTGCTAATTAGTGCCAACAAACACGAGACCTAAGACTTGTATTGATACTGGTTGATGAATGAAGATGAAATGAAAATTTCAGCCTCAGCTAGATTCAAACCAGTGACCAGCGGGTTTCCGACCTGATGCGATACCAACTGAGCCGTGATATCCAACTGCTGGCCAAGTTTTCATTCCATCTTCAGCCAGCAATACAAGTCTAACAAACTACAGTTATCTCAAATAGGCAAACTGATGTTTAATTTTTTTTGATGAGTAGAACTTTCACATTTGAGAAAAATAAAACACAAAGTAAAATTATGTCATGTACAGTGAGATGAAAATACCAATTATTACATAGTCAGCACTTACTATGCACAATAATTTATCTGAATCATCTGTGCTGAACATTAAAACACCATGTGAGTAATCGGTTCTTTGAGTCATCTGGTAAAAAAGAGAAGAAAAAGCCGAATTATCAGTAATTAAGTTCGCGGTAGAAGAAAAAGCTTTGAAGTACGAAAGAAATTTAATTTCTACCTATAAATCACTTTTTTATATCAGCTAACCGTTATTATTTACCGCATTTTTACAATTATAGTATTTTATAGTTTGAACAGAATTTTACGTGATCAAGTTTTTCCTCGAGTGGAACCCAAATAGGAAACGACGAGTTGGGGGTCTGATGGTGAAATGGAGAAATCGTTTGAGAAGAAGTGAATGGTAGATGATGGTAGCGAACTCTTCCTTCACAGCATTATCAAAACAAATGTCTGTGGTATGATATACTAGGCGTTTCACTTCTATTGGCGGGATACGACACTAAAATGGCACATGTTGGTTTTCTACGCATACCTTATAACAGAGTCCCATCTAACCATTTTGGCAACAGAATATTAATAAATAAGATAGTGTTCCTCTACTATTGTGAATATGACTGCCAGATGAACACTACTACACTTATTAAGGACAATATTTTTTATCAATCTTAGTTATAATGACTACTAAGGTATGATACACATATCACTTCGTTCAGTCAGTCTTTTCTTAAAAAAAAATATTTTAATTCATGCTTAGTATAATTTCAAAGTATGCTGATCGGAAGGAAACAATTACAAAAGGGAGTAGAATAATTGTCACTACTATATAAAGACACGTCTTAAACATTTTCAATTGGTGGGATATTTTATTATCTTTTATAAGTAAAAACACGTGAATTTTAGGTTATATTCCATTAAAATTCAATTTTAACCATTATAGCTTTTTACATTAAAACCTTCACTAGTAAATGTATTAGGTTAATGCATATTCAATTTATCTACAAATTTACTTATCTTAAATATTAGGCATATAAAACATTTATCATTTTGATTTCATGTTGATGGATTTAGAATACAGAAATGTAATGCTAAAGTAAAGTCATTAGTAGTGACTGGCTTGTTATTAACTTGTAACATACAATAGTTGTTACTATTTATTGACATACTTGTTATTCTCCTTTGTTTGTTGGATAGAATTAATTGACATCTATTGGCGCTTCCTGGATTCTTCTGCTAGCCACAACCAACCAATTTATCATAATACAACAGTTCTATTGTCAATGAAGTCACAATGTGTCAATAGTTTCAGTAACCATTTTATATTGAAACTAAGCGAATGTATAAACTATGAACAAATAAGCAATGATATTCATCATGGACTGATATCACTTGGAGAACCACTGGAAACCTGGGAGCGCTGGACATTTGTTTCATTTAGTACGGGACTACTCAACACTGCACAATCATGAACTCGCCAGGGATCGAACGCAGGACCTGAAATCAATACAATAATCCCACAAACCTACATATTGAGTTACTATCTAACACCTCTTAGAGATTTGCTTCGAGATGAAATTCTTGAAGTTTGAATGAGAAGTCATGACCGATGTGATCAACCAAGTCGGGTGTGAGGACAGCTACTCAATGACGGCATTTTGTGGGCGTCACTCTGTATCATGAAATGACAGAAGGACATGTAAACTATTAGACTCACACCCGCTGGCTCAATGGTAATGTGCTAGTGGCAAAACCTGAAGGCCCTAGCTTCTATCATTGGCGATGAGTCCCATACTACGACGAAGCGGCTATCTAGTACTGCCAGTTTTTCAGTAGTTCTCCAACTAATGTCAGTCCGTGGTGAGTAGCAACCTGAAATTAATAAATAAATTCACACAAGACTCTAAAGTGGAAGTATTTTTTGCAAAGAATTTCATTCAGTACACATAGAAGCTGTGTATGCGTCTGAAGATACATGTAAACCCTGTTTATCGGATAAAAGAAGCAATTACACTACATGTGAGTGACTAAGGACTCCATGGAACATCTGCTTGAGGCCGATTACACGCGAACATAGAATGTGACTTGTCTGTTTAATTCAACTCTTATTAAAACTAAAGAGTGATACTCATTAAATTTGTCAATACGAAGTAAGAAACAAGGTCAAAATTATGAAAATGAAAATATGCTAACGGCAGATGAATAAATCATAAAGAAAGTTAATAAATACATAAATGTCACTTATTTCAAAATAAATTTTAACCTTGTACAACTTTTTAAAAACTATCTTAATCTATCTTTTATGCTTCTTTCGCTTCTATTAACATGATTCTGTAATGGGCGTTGCTGATAAGAATGGATATAAGTAGTATATGTTGAGAGGATGGCAGAAATCATAGGGAATTACGAGCAATGGGTAAGGATTCTGGTAAGAGAAACCCAAAAGACAAGATAGGTGCATGAAGAGCAAATCAAGAAAGCAGCAGAAGAGGAATTGAAGCGTATTTTGCAAGTGATGATTTTAGTGCAAGGTATACCATATTTAATGTCCCACTTCTTGACAGTGGATTTTCCTTCCATGGTACCAGTCTTCTCACTTCTCTAAATTCTTGTAGCAAGACATTTAAAAGTTATATAATGAATACTTGAACCATGAACTTTTATCTTTTCTATGAAGGAATGAACTTAAACATACTGGAAGTGATATTCATTTATTCTGTCTGGATATTTTGTAGCTAATGAATTCATGACATACCAGTGGCATTTTCGTATTTTCTACAGAAAGGAGTCAACGAGATACTTTAAGAAAATAACACTGTCGCAATATTTCCAAAATCTTAGTAAACCAATTCACTGTCGATCGGCACCAAAAATACGCGTTATGATTTTAGAAGGAAGTTTTATATGTAATCATACTTAGAAACGGTTTTTATACATACTACATACATAGAGTTTTTAACCTATAATTTTAATGCTTTGATTACTGATAAACCACAGTGTAAGAAATATGAATTGTTGAATGCTTTTTATGTTTTGCCTGAAGTGTACAACAGTAGATGCCAGTTGCACATGTAATTGTCTGAAGTAGTCTCATGAAGGTGTAGGGAGATGTAGAGTACCTGGCTGGGATTCTTGAGACTGTAGGAATCAGTAGTTGAAGACTCTTGGTTAAATAACTGAAAATTGGTCACAGTGGGACAGATGTACTCACTCCCTGACATCTTTTAAAGCTTGAATAGTTGCACTAATTGTTATCTTCAAATTGTTTATTTCCTCATACAACTTTGTGTAATTTGATATCAATCTTTTCTATCCACTTGTTCTTTGCATATTTCTGTGGATTGTAGCAACCTGAACCAATGCACTTGTATGCGAGGTTCTACTTTTTGTCTGTCTTTCTACCTAAGAAGACTTAAATAGCTAGTTTTCAATCTTTGAGGTGATTGATAAGGTGTACAAAAGAATGATCCTTTCTCACTATGTCAGTTAGCTTACATCTACTCTTATTCTGAACAAAATTTTCCATGCACGGATAGTCATCAGTAGGTAACTGATGTAGCCACCTGGTTCTTATTCTTCAGCGCTGATTGAACGTAATCTATTACTTAGGGAGCAAATGGCAATTATAGACATCTAGACCACAGGTGCTACGACACTGAGAAGCTGAACGCCAAGTCTGATTGAATCATTATAAAAATGTGTTTTGATAAAATACAAAGTGTATTTTTATAACCAAACAGCAACATCGGTTACTCTTTGATAACTGACTGATATGCCTAAACTAGTCCTAGAAAAGGCCAGTTATGGCATGAAAAAGCTTAAAGGAAAGGTCTCTAACTTCACCATTCAGTAAGGCAAGTTTGAATAATCGACGGAATGTCAGTTACTAAAAAAACGTCTTACTAGTGACAGCGAACAAGGGGAAAATCCAGGCCAAACACTTCCTACTAAATGACTCTCACTTAGTCAATCTAGAGTTATCAGTTTGAATATCGGAGAAAATCATGGTTTGGCAGATCTGTGTGATGATTGAAGGTGAAATGAAATTTTGGGTTGCGGCAGGATTCGAACCAGAGGCCACCGGATTTCTAACTGAGGTAAGAGACACGCAGTTCATCAAAAGTTTATTGATAAGTGTGAATGGTATCTTCAATATTCCACTTACACTTAAACTTTACAGCGAAAATATTTTTAAAAAAAAGCTAGATAATGAGACATATTATTAGGAAAATGATCTAAGTAGTATCTGCATATCCACAATACTTCTAAACATAAGTTAGACTGTGAAACAGAAAAATCAGTTTTATTTTGCATCCTTTTATTCTTTTAAGAAAGTATAATTTGTCGGATCACCAGTCGGTTATTTATCGGCATTATTTGACCTACTTTACTAGTTTTGCCTTATATCTCCGCTTTCTTGTTTTAATTTCTTTCTTTATTATGCTTTTATTGTTAGTTGACGTATGTTTTAATTGAAGAGAAACAAATTAGCAAAAAAATTTATTCCCTAGATCCCCACTTCCATCCAAGCACTATGAGATTTAAGCTATAAGCATGAAAGAATATCCACCATCTATGCGTAATAAAATCATCTTCCATAAAGCTGAATGGTAATTCACAGCTTATACATATCGGATAAGTAAAGTGTGACAATAACATTGTTTCCGAAATAGAATAGAAAATGAAGAGTATTAATAAACCATTTAAGGACGATGCGATTAGCCGAAAAAAGGAAAAAGAAAAGAACATTTTTATTCTCATTCTTCCACAATAATATATACAAATAACAAATAAGTAGTTTAGCATCCAAAGGATACAAGCCAAAACGTATTCATACAGTTTCTTCGAAAGAAATGAGCGAAAATGCGAAAAATGAGATAAGCTGAAGGGAGCTGTAGAGAATGAGGACGAAGATCATTTGCCCTTTGGCTTCCTAGTACAACATAGGAATAAGGTAGCACGTCACCATTTCACTCTATACTCGACAGTCTTTTCAACCTGGCTACACCACTGGGATCTGACAACAGCATCGTTTTTATTATTTATTGACACTTTCAACTTCCACTTCATTATTATACGGGATTAAAATCTTCAGTCTTCGTTGGAAGATTATCTTCTCTATGGAAGTCATGATACTGCTTCAAGATCCATTACGTATCTTGCTGGCTGGCGCTGAAATTCAAGACGAACATTTTATCACATTTTGGAATCGTCAGCTAAATGTACCAACTGCCAAGAGGTAGATCTACTAACTTTGTAGATAACCCCCTAGCCTTTGAATCTATGGGTTCTCAGTCCGATTCTCAGTGGAGATATCATCACCAGCTGAAGTGAATGTACATTTAGCTGAGGAGACACCAATAAAGGAGAAGATATGTCCTGGAATCCTTTGCGAACCAACACAAAACAAATACTTCGTAGTATTACTCAGTCTCGTCATATTCACTTAAGTTTAAAAATCATGCAAATAAATGATTTGGCTTTGAATAGAAAAAAAACTCAATTTGTTATAATTTTTCACTTGAAGAACTGAAGCCATATTGGTTTCAGGTTGGAATCTATCATGGATTGACATCAATTTGACATCAGACTGAATAAACCTACGGCACATCGATGACCAGCTTCGAGAGGTGATTCTTGAAGTTCTAATGAGAAGTTGTGACCAGTGGAATCAATCCAGTCGAATATGAGGACAGTTAATTAACGATGATATTGGATGTAGGTCAAGCTATATCATGAACTAGCAGAAGTAGAAAATTTGGAACAATAGATTTCAACCCACTGGCTCAATGGTAACGTGCTGACCACAGAATGCAAAACTCTTGGGTTCGATCGGTGGTGGGTCAGGGTCATGGATGCGCACTGCTGATGAATCCCACACAGGGACGAAACAGCTGTCCAGTGCTTCCAGCTTTCCAATATTCCTTCAGCTGATATCACTCTATGATGAATTCCTACTTAAAATCAATTAATAAGTCTCTACAAACCTCCAGATAGAATATATCAGTTTCAGCTTTACAATTGACGCATACAATTTTTAGATACACTAAACAAAAATCTCATTATTAGAAACAATACATATTCATGTCTAAAATACTTATGAAAAGATTAAAGTCATAACTAGTCAGAGTTTTATTTTACTTCTGTGATAATACAGCATGGAAATGACTTGTAAAATTCAGTGTTAACCTTTAAAAATATCACGTTATGAAACAAACAGTTCAATTTGTTATTTGTTGACACTTTGAAGTTTATAATTAATATACGGTATATCACGTATAACGAGAACATCACTTTCTTTCTAAAATCTAGTCCAACACAGATAAACTTTATCTATTTTGTAGTTATCTTTACAATTCATCAAATTATCATAAAATGAATATTGAAACTCATTACGGATATGGTAGTATCATTCTTTTTGACATTGAACATGTTTGCAGTTGAATTCGTCTACTAGTTATCACTATATTTAAACAAATATAAAATTTTAGGCTGGTTAAGGCACTGCCTCGGAAATGTAGTAAAAATTTAAATCAACAACACCCTGTATTTCGATGTGTAACATTCGAAATTAAATTCACTTGAATACATTATTCTTCATTTTTATGATCATTACATACAGATTCAGTTTGTAGTGGGACACAGGGATTCAGTAGCACATCACCATTTCACTCTATACTCGACAGTATTTTCAACCTGGCTACACCACTGCCCACAAACTTTCATTTCTCCCTCACACCATCTCTTCCATGTCACCCTCTCCTCGGACACCCAACTCGTCGTTTCCCATTCACGTTCCACTGGACCACCCAGCCTGGCCTAGCCTGATGCGTCATGTCTACAATCGGTCCTCTCAGTGTGCATCCAATCCAGTCGATCTCCATTTCCTTTTGCAGATTTGTTCGGCAATAGCCTCTTCGTCGGTTCGTTGCCAGTCAGTCAGCCAGCCTATCCGCCAGCCAGCCAGCCAGCCAGCCAGCAAGAGTTTCTTGTTGCTTATGCTTACTATTCTGGCCGTCTGATCTCATCTCATCTGATCTTCAGTATGAAGTGAGTCAGTGTAGACGGCAGCTGTTGATGTGATGTATGTCTGTGGTTTGTTGGAAATGCTTTTTGTGACGCGCCAAGACTGTCAACCATCACATGGAAGCACTGACTTGACGTTGGTGTTGAAAATCAGGATGTTGTTCACGCTTTATGCTGAGTGAAGTGGAGTGGAGTGAAGTGAAGTACAGTAGATCTCCACACTGATTTGAGATTCATGAAGGAATGCTTGTGTTGCTGTCATTCGGATCCTGGTTGCGACGTGATGATGTGTGCCGCAGCCGCAGACGCCGCCTGTAGGTGGAAGGATGCTGCCTAGGTAAGTAAGTAGTGGGGATAGGTAGGTAGATAGGTCTGTAGGTAGGAGAAGGAGACCACTTCGTTTAGATTCCTCCCCGTCATGGTGATTGATGATTGTTGTTGATGCTGTTGTTGGTTGGGTATCTTCATCACCTCCGTTTTATCTACCTTCACTTGAAGGAAGTCCCATCTCCCTTTGCTGCCTCACCTCACCTCGCCTTGCCTCGCCTCGCCTCCGCTCTTCTGTCAACTTGTTATCTCTCGTCTGTAGATCTTCGTGTTCGTGCGACATAAATCACCATCGTTGGTGAAATCCAAATCTTCTTCTGGGCTCTTCTCCTCAGTCGAACAGCTTATGCCCATCTTCTCACAGCTGCTCACAGTTGTCTGCCACATGATCCAGTCCAGTCGACCGCAATCACGATGGTTATTATCTCTGATAGTACAGAGGTTTGTGTTACTCAGTCCATGATGAATACCACCTTAATATTCAACTTTTCAGCATTAAAGAGAAATTATTCAAGTGGATTTTGAAATAGTTTCCATTATAATGAAATTTGTGACGTCTAATTGGCGTTGACAGGACTTTAAATTACTTACCTAAATATATACTATAAGTTAAAGACTTATTCTGCTGGAATTCATAACAAACAGCTTACTAAATTTGAAAAACTGGAAAATAAATAAAATGGAGCAGATAAAAATGAATCATGAAAATTATAACCTTTCTTGAATCCACAAGTTTTGAAATGGTAACTTTTATATTGTACACAATCGATTCAGGTTATCATAGTTCAAGTTGAATCAAAAGTGAAATTATATTTAACAAGTTACCTGCTGAAGTAGGTCATGAGAAAGTTTGACTAAGTCGAAACATGTTTGCTCTAAAATTATAATAAACAAGAAAGAAAAAATACCAAAAGATACTTCAATTTATCATCTTTTATTTAATACACCAAACTATACATCAAAAGCAATTCATGTTTGTCGAAAAAAAATATCGACACAAATAGCAATGAGAATATTTATGGACTTGACATTATACGGTTACTTAAATCATCCCATTTTTATTGATTATTTGATTTATCATACAGTGGAGGAGCAGTATTGTTTACTGGATTACTTTTTGGATATATGTTACTGTCCATAGTCATATCAAGATAACTACACAACTCTGAGATATCCTTTATAAAATCCTAATTTCCCCGTCTGTTTATAAGATGGTTAGTAAGATTTTCCGTATATCCGGAACAGGTACTGAGTCATTTCTGTGGCTGCATGTATTGGGTGTTGATTCGATTAGAACATTTGACTAAATTCCTATGTTCGACCATTTTAACTGACCCCGATCGGCTAGTTTGACCTATGTACTTGACCTGACTCACAGTCATTACATGGAATTTGATAGATTAGATTATTTTGTTCAATTGGTTCTATCGGATCTTAAGCCGACAAAGTTGATCTCAGAATGAGTTTGTAGGTTTCAGAATGCCACCCTAATTCCAGCTCCGTTGAGGATTCTACATAAAGTTTCTGAGGTACCCTCCTTGTACGATAACACAATGGAGGCTGTCAATTCCTTTCTACTTGTGTCATCGTTATTATTCGTACTAGTGTTACTGTCATTTTTTCGTTTCTCGTGTGTTCGTACAAATTTCTTGATAAGCTGCGAAGGATAATTATTAACTATTAGTGCTTCTTTTAACTGTTTCAATGCCTTGTTTAGGTTTTTCTTCCAAATAGTGAATTTCCTAGCTCTTTTACTTAAACATCTGATTAAACCCACCTTAACTGTCATTGGATGAGATGACCTAAAGTCTAGGTGGAAAATGAACAAAGAGAATTAGATACTTTGGATTTCAGAGTAAAGCAAAGGACAAAAGGATACTACCGTCTACAGGAAACCGACACATTCTAACAGGTGTTCAGACTTCAGGGTATCTCAATCAATATCACTTAAGGTGGGTTTAGTCAGATATTTAAGTAACTGAGCCAGAAATCTGACTAGTCGGTGCAAGGGACTAAACAAGGCATTGAAACAGTTAAAAGAAGCACTAATAGTTAATAATTATCCTTCGCAGCTTATCAAGAAATTTGTACGAACACACGAGAAACGAAAAAATGACAGTAACACTAGTACGAATAATAACGATGACACAAGTAGAAAGGAATTGACAGCCTCCATTGTGTTATCGTACAAGGAGGGTACCTCAGAAACTTTATGTAGAATCCTCAACAGAGCTGGAATTAGGGTGGCATTTAAACCTTCAAACTCACTCAGAGATAAACTTTGTCGGCTAGCCTAAGGATTCCATAGAACCAATTAAGCAAAACAATCTAATCTATCAAATTCCATGTAATGACTGTGAGTCAGATCAAGTACACAGGTCAAACTAGCCGATCGGGGTCAGTTAGAATGGTCGAACATAGGAATTTAGCTAACTACAGAATAATAGACCTAAATAAGATGAATAATCTAGAAAAAAGTTGGCTATTGCAGTGCATGCATTAACACACAACCACACAATAGGGTGGGATAAAGCCATTGTACTTAAGTCCAATATAATGATGTGGAGAGAGAGAGAGAGAGTGTTGATTGCTGAATCCTTTTCCATCGAATCAACACGCAACACATGTAATAGAAATGACGCAACACCTATACCAGAGATATGGAAAATTTTGCTACAAGTAAAAACAACTTATATAAAGTGACATAACTATAAAAATCAAATGTCGTAAGTAATGTGATTACACTGTTATGATAATGGGTATTGATAATTTTTGCTGGAAACGTGATCAAGTGAACAATACTATATCCCAGTACGCTATGTATCAAATAAATAAGTCTGATATTGAATTAAATTCCAATGCATTTATATGAAATGAAAAAAAACATTTTGTAGAGGATATTATCATCGAAATAACAGTTAACAAAAGTTTAGATAGGTAGATGGAGGTTGATCATAGCTTATTTTTGAACATATTAGCTCTACAGAATGGTGGTTAGTTGTTCTTTTAGCTCTGGGCAGTACCAAAGGTCAGACAACACTTAACTACCATCATCGTCATCCTGAGACAGAAAACTTTCGTTTTATTTCAAAGCTATGCAAAATATTGACATTAGAAATAGTTTGTATCTATGTAAGTCACAATGTGTTTTAAATGAAATAATTCCAACCAAGCTTAAACCTTATACAACCAATAATATTTCTCCAAATGTATTTCATTAAATTGTTTCCTATTTAATTTATTTTAATCTTTTTAATATATCTTTTTAATGTATCATGTTTTTAAAATGTTTTCAAACTGTCGTTTTTCCAATCTAATATCAAAACAAATGAAAAAGCATTACTTTGGATAGTGATGGAATTATGAATATTCAAATATGTAGTACATTACTATTCCTAGGATATCTATGTAGAATTGGAGATTTTGATTGCATGGATAAACTGTTACCAGGACAACTACGCTTTATTTTCTATTTTATCCGCCAATACAGAGCGTACGCTAATGTAGTACCAGCTGCCTGTTTCAAAGTATTGTATTGAATACTGTTATTATTAACATTGTTAAAATGCAATAATTATTTCCAGTTCGAATCCCGCCTCAGTCGAAATTTTCATTTCACCATCAATCACCACCTAGTACCACTGCTTATCTATAAAATCACGGCTATCTAACATAGCCAAAATAATAATCAATATGATGATCCCCATCTGTAATTCAGTTAAATTTGGATTGGGATGAGAAATCCTGACTAGGCAGCCATTATAAGTACTATCAAACGGTAGTAACGTGTCACGAATTGACATGGTAATGGGGCGAAACCCTTGGTGATCGAAGTGAAATAAAAATATTGTCAGCAGTTAAGCGTCGCAGCTCAGTTAGTAGGACGCTGGACCGGAAACTCCGGTGGTCACTAGTTCGAATCCGGCTCGGGGTTCAAATTTTCATACCACCTTCAATCACTATTCAGTATCAGGGATTATTGTGTTTAAAAATATTGTGCAGAGAGTGAATTTGCTGAAATATCAAGAATTTTTCGCTGCGTCTTACATATCGTCTGAAATAAATAAAGTGGTTATTACCATTATTATTATGACGATGATCGAAACATTTCGCATCGGAGTCTGGTCGGAGCTTCTCCACGGAAAGAATGAAAAATTAAAACACCAAAGATATATCAGTGAGTCTATAGGCGAGTACTTAATCACACTGGTTCAATCCTCTTCATGTAGTTATTGTCTTACTAAAGTATGATTTCTTGTTGTTTGGGTGGTTAGCGTGTATGTATTGTTGTTCTCACTCTCCTTGACTGTAAATATGCAACAAAAAAGTCGCAAGTGACATTTTAATTTTTACCCAGACAGCGGGACATGTGAGGTGGATATGCATGTCAGTTCGGTTGGCACATAGAGATGAATGGCAGTGATGAATTTTTGTTAATTTATCGGAATAGAGTGCAAACGAATGGTAGTAATGATGGAGGTGATGATAATAATAATCATGAATCAGATCAATCCAGATTGTGTTGTTGAGATAAGACTGGTGTTAAAGATAACTGCTACAGTCACTCTTTATGTTCACTAGTTACCAATAGCCTAAAGACAGCTATATATACTCCATCTCGCCTGTTCAAAATTTCTGGATTTGGCCATATATGTAGGGCTTTGGCTGTCAATATTTCTAGGTATGACCCAAAAGCGTTTTATAGAGTCTTGGTTCCCCATTTCTATGGGGTATAACGCGACTGTCGATGTGTCTCGTAGCTTCTTAACCTTTGTTGACGTTTTCCGAATCTCCTTTAGACATAGTTTATACTTCTTCACTTTTACATTTACCTGCCTTGCTATCTTCCCCACATATACTGCAGTATTATCTGAGTCTCTAATTTCATAAACTCAGTTCTGTTGATTTTATTTAGGTACTACATCTTTAACTTTCATTAAATGAAAGCGTAGGGTATTTGTTGCATGAAAATAGACTCTTATGTCATGTTTGTTGGGAATTCTTATTTCTTCCGGGATCTCCTTATAATGTGGGACTATCACAGTGTTTATCCAGTTCTTCGGAAGGAGTTTCGATTCATCCTTAATTTAATTTCTTAAAATTCTTTCTCACGAGAGCTTTAGGATAGTTATTCACTTCTACTTTAGTAGATAAAGGATGTCCAGACTAATAATCTAGACAGCTGTCAGAATGTGTTGCTCTTCTAAGAATCTTCAGTAAATATGATGAATATTATTTAGTTTTTGATAAAATGACTGGATAATATAGTAGTACAGTAGTATAATACACTGTACATTCCATGCTATTATATCTCATATAGTTCTTTTTGACCTAGTAATTCGACTGACACTCCTATATACATATATACTTTTTATTATCTGATATTTTTTCAGTCTTTATCACTCTACAAGTAATATGGTGCATAATTACCGGGTATTTTTCATTGAAAAAAAAGCAAATGGTAGTCAAAAGAAGAATGGGTGTAACTGTATAAGATTCAGAAAAAAAGACAAATTATGAACTGCTCATCAATGACATTTACTATTAATGAGTGTTAGTTGTCATAAAAGTTGTTGGAAATTTGTAATCACGAAATTATTTTGCATATAAGGTAGCATCTAGGCCACATTTGTTATGATTGTCCTGAAAGAAGTTGAGCGCCAAGTCAGGTTTGTGCATATATCACTAAGATCTCCATCGAGTAAAGATTGCTTGCTTAAGGGGACTAAAATAGTGAATAAAATCAAACCTTCAACTCTTCACTCTTGTAGACTGTAAAGGAGATTTGTTGTCTGGAAGAATGATTTTGATGTTACATTCTTTGAGTTGAATGGTTGAAACGTAAAGCTTACATTGTCATTCAAACAATATCATC